GGGTGAGCCACCGGTGCCCGGCCCTTGTCAGCTTCTTTGACTGTTTCCAGGATTCCCAGCTTGGCCCAGGCTCGTGCTGCCCACGTGCACGGCAAGTCCCGGGGCTCCGGTGTCCTGGTGCTGCAGAGGGTGGCGCTCTGTCAGTCTGCCCCGCACCTCGCGCCCGGCACCTCGCGCCTCGGCGCCCAGGGCTTCCCAGCCCAGCCCCCTTCCCGCCCGACCGGCCCAGCCAGCCTCGGCTCAGCCAGCGGCCCCCGCCGGCCGGCCGAACAATATCCTTTCTATTCGGAGCTGACCCGCTGCCCTTTGGGCTCCTGAGCCCCTGTCCCGCGCGGGAGTGGGGTGGGGCGCGCCCCGTAGCCCGGGGCCTCGTCGCAAAGGGCCGCGCTCCCTGACCGTCCCTTCCGTCGGCCCAGCAGCCTGCGCCCGGCCCATGGCGGCCCGGCTGGGCGCCCTGGCCGCGTCGGGGCTGTACCGGAGGCGCCAGCGCCGGCCGAGCCCGCCGCCGCCAGCCTGGTCCGGGTAGGTGGCGGCTGGGTCCCGGGGCGGGGTCGCCAGGGACAATGGCCGGAATCCGCGCCGTGGACAGGCCGCACAGGGCCGGGCAGGGCCGCGCTGGCGAGGAGGCCGCGATGCCCCTTGACGGAGCTGCTTTGCTCCCCTCGGAGGCCGGTGCCCCCGACCCTCGGCGGGCACCGAGACCAGGTGTCCTAGGCCACCCGCATCCTTGCTCTCGTTCCCGCCGCTTTACAAAGGAGCGAGCTGGGCTAAGGAGCTCCAAGACATCAACACTCAACTGAAAAATGGCAATTGCTATTTGGATGCAGGTGGACTGACTTTAAAGCGTGGGCTGTCGCATTCTGGGAGAAGGGTCTGTGTAGGCAGCCTCCTTCAGGGCTGGGAGGTGGGGAGCGTGGGGTTCTGGGTGTTCCTCCAGGGGTCTCAGAGGTGGTTAGCCTGAGATGCAGATCCACGGTACCTAGATGGGAGCAGCGAGGGAGGGAGGCACCGGCCCCTGGATGTGCTACGGGCACCTGGGTGGAAATATCCAGCAAAGAGCTGGGGGGTTGTGGAAACAGCCCAGATGCCCTACACTAGATGAGTGGATCCAAACAATGCAGTACTAATACACAATGGAATTTTACCCAGCCATTAGAAAGAACATTATGTCACTTGCAGGGAAGTGGATGGGACCTAGAACAAATCATGTTAAGTGAGGTAAGCCAAGCTCAGAGAGACAAATGGCACATGTTTTCTCTCATGTGCAGAAGCTAGATCTAAGATACAGGGACATAATAAATTATACAGGTCTCTAGGCATTCCAACACAGTGAGACCAAAGGAGGATACACTTAGGAGAGGAACAGAAAGACACAATGCCTATGTGCATCTGATCATACAAAAGATGATTTATTGAAATGAACTCCAGGAAATGAAAACGAGTTTTTTCCCCTTTGTTGCTGTTTTTGTTTTCATTTCCCTTTGTCTTGTTTGTTCATTTATCTGTCTTTGGGAGGGAAAAGGGCACAGAAATGGAGGGACAAGGGGTGAACGACAGCAATGGTACTCACTGGACACGATGTTGAAATGAACTATACAACATATGGGTGGGAATGGAAGGGAAAAACTGGGAGAGAGGGAAGGGGTGACATTGTCCAAAAAGAAATGCACTTGTTATCTGACTTATGTGTCTGTAACCCCCCTATATATCATCTATTTTTAAAATTTTATTGTGAAGGTGCTGTACAGCGGGGTTAGAGTTACTTGAGTAAGGCAATGAGTGCATTTCTTGTCAGGTGTTGTTCCCCCTCCCTGTTCTCCCATTATCACTTTCTCCCCTCCCCCTCCTTGAAGTTGTAAAGTTCATTTCTAATATACTGTCTTGTGGGTATCATCGTTGCAATGGGTCATCCTGTGTCCTTGTTTCAGCATTTTGTATAATAACAATAATTTACAATACATTATTTAAGCATAGTTTAACAATACAATGCATTTGGTTCCCCTGGGAAAAGAGAGTCGTGGGAGCAGAACATGTGGGTTGCAGGTGCTTTCTAAGGAGGCTCAGGAGGAAGTGGAGGAGAGCTGAGAGAAGGGCTGGCCACCCAGGGAAGAACCAGGGAGCCCCAGTCACAGGTGTGGGGGTGGGTGGGCTGTAGGACTGAGGGAGAAAGGGCAGGTCGTGGCTAATACCACCCAGTGCAGATATAGCCTATTCTGTATGGCATGTTCCAGAAAGGCCTTGGCGGGAGACACGGTAGGACGTATTCCTCAAAGATGTCTTCAGCTGAGAGCAGAAGCAGAGGAAAGGAATGGAATGGGCACTGGGAAATGCAGTCTCAGCCATCTGAATGAGCACCTACTGAGTGGTGGGTCATTCCTGTGGGTCCATTACAGGCCAGGCTTGGGAGTGTCTATGGCTTGAGCAAGGAAGCAGAGGCTCAGGAGATGGGCTAGCTCATCAGAGGTCGGCCTGATTGGTCGTCTTCACTGGTGGGCCCTGGATGTTCCTCTGTGGGTATCTGTGGTTTGAACCATGGTACTAGGTATGAGGGTGGCCAGGGCACATATGGTCCAGAAGTACCAGTGTAGATGTAACACAACATGGCCAAAGTGTGAAACACATGGACCCAGTCATGAAAATCAGGTCTTGGGAAGGTACCATGTACACCACTCAGCTTCATTTTTCCTTGAACTTCTAGTTCATACCATTTGACAGTTGTCAAATGTCAATGTGACATTTTAAAATGTGTGTGTGTGTGTGTGTGTGTGTGTGTGTGTGCTGGTATTAGGGCTTAAACTCGTGAGCTTTCACTTGGCTCTTTTGCTCAACATTGGTGCTCTACCACTTGAGCCACACCTCTACTTCCAGCTTTTTGCTGATTAATTAGAGGTGAGCGTCTCATGGACTTTTCTGCTTGGGTTGGCTTTGAACAGCAAAATCAGCCTCCTGAGTAGCTAAGGTTACAAGCGGAATCATTACAAGCTTGATTACAAGCCCGATTACAAGCCTGTGATCCTAGCTACTCAGGAGCCTGAGATTTGAGGATCATGGTTCTAAGCTAGCCCGGGGAAGGAAAGTCTGTGAGACTCTTGCCTCCAATTGATCACAGAAAAAGCTGAAAGTGGTGCTGTGGTTCAAGTAGTAGAGCACTAGCTTTGAGCAAAGGGAGCTCAGGGACAGCACCCAGGGCCAGAGTTCAAGCCCCAGGACTGGCAAACAAACAATACTTGATAAAAGGAAACTGAGCTGCTAGAACAAAGAGGTCTGGTTAAGGCTTCAAAAAAGCTGTCATTTCAGCAGGTCTCCTTGGCATATGTTTCTGATAGTGTAAATGTATCATAAGTCCAAGACTGAATATTCATTTTCTCTTCCTTCCTTCCTTCCTTTCTTTCTTTCCTTCTTTCGCCAGTCCTGGGGACTGAACTCTGGGCCTGGGAACTGTCCCTGAGCTTCTTTGGCTTAATGCTAGCATTCTATCACAGCGTCACTTCCAGCTTTTTCTGTTTATGTGGTGCTGAGGAATTGAACCCAGGACTTCATGCATGCTAGGCAAACACTCTACCACTAAGCCACATTCTCAGTCCGGAATGTTCATTTTCTAGTGGGGCTAGCCTTCTGTCAATTCCTGTTTGCTGTGTGATCCTGACTGTTGAGTGCCCCAGGGTGAGTTTGGGGAGCACTGAACAGTGGGGGGCAGGAGCTGCTGTATGCGGAAGCTCCCACTGGCCCCCACTGCCATGCTGCAGAGGGGTCTCCTCTGTTCCTGCACCTGGAATCTTGCCTGGAGCAGCAGATACCCACGTAGACAGAAGGAAAGCCAGCTCTTGTATGCATGCTGTGCTTACCTTGTTTGACTCTTTCACGGTCTTCCGAGACAGCTGTTGGTGGCCCATTTCACAGAGAAGAAAGCTGAGGTTCAGAAAACACTTGGTTCCAAGTGCCATCTCAAGGAGGGGATCCTAAGCCAGGATTGCAGCCTGTTTTGCCTGGCTGAAAGACCGGCTCACCATGACATGGCTAGGCCTCTGATGGCTAGTCTTTGATAGCTAGCCTACCTTTTCCGAGGCCCTGTCACTTGCTTTTGGTCTTGTGGGTGTAGGGGGTAGGCTGGAGTGCTGGGAGGTGTGGAATGGCCTTGTCTGTGTGAAATGTTGGGAGCTAGGGAGACAGAGGGAGGCAGGATCTAAATCCCTCAGCAGCCCATACCCTCTCTGCTTCAATGTCTTTGGAGTAATCTCCTCTCACAGGGACCTGGCAAAGAGATTCTCGCTCATCCCACCCCTGAGGGCTGTATACACTGTCACTCATGTGCATCTGGCAACCATTTGGCTTGTGCTGGCTGTTTAGATGAAGAGGGCTGGTGGGTGCTGGGAGGACACTGGAAATGGAGCGAGAGGGGAGGATACTGCAGGTTTTCTGGGATGCTCTGGGCTCTCAGCTGTGAGCTGTGCTGTGCCTGGGTGTGTGTGTGTTTGGGGGGGGCGACTGGGGTTTCCTGGCAGATAGCTGGGCAGACTTTGTGCTCTTGGCTGTTGGGCGGAATGTGCGAAGGAGGACATGGAATTTCCATGTCTTTGACCTGCTGCCCTCTTACAGAGAGCACAGCCCTTCCTGCTCCAGCCCTTCCTGCTCTGGTGGCTGCCAGGGATTCTGGAAGGCTCCTGGAGTTTCTGGAACTCAGCAGCTCCCTTTCTGCAGCACACTGCCTGCCTGGCCTTACGCACTCTGCTTACACTGAGGCTTTGTGCTTCACCTCAGCGCCCCGGCCCCCACTCTGGTGTCCCTTTTCACTGAAGAAGAAATGAGGCCCAGAGAGGCTGCACCTTCTTCCAGGTCCAGCAGCTATCAGAACAGGAGTAGATAGATGAATAGGAGCTCAGCCTGCCTGGCTGCCTGGCTGTTTTCTCCCTGCTGGGCAAGGCCTTGGCTCTGTTGAGCCTCAGCATCCATCTGGAAGAATTCTTTGCTGGGAGAGTACAATGTTCTGTGTTTCCCAGCAAGGTGGTGCCTTGGGGGTGCCACTATGGAGCTTCTCATGGAGCTGTTGTTGGGATTCTACTCCTTGAAACTTGCTCTAGGGAAGACATGTGGGACAGGAGGCTAGGGATTCTGGAAGGAAGCCAGGAGACTACGGTCACGGGCACATCTGCCCAGGCCAGGCATACCGAGCATGGCAAGCAGAGCTTTGGAGCAGGGACCCAGTGACCCAGCCTGGGAATGAGGAGCATCCAGCTGGTGAGGGAGCCAGCCCCTCTGTTTAGGGGCCAGCTGCTGAGGACCAACTTACAGGCACATGAAAGGTACCAGAAGCAGTGGGCATGGCCAGGATGCTGTTGGGTTCTGGTGGGAACACACAGAACATTCAAGTAGAGCTGAGGGGCAGCAAGGTGAAGAGAGCCAGAGAAGAGGACACAGCTGTGCAGTAGCTGTGAGTGTAGGAAGTATTGCATGAGCTCATTCCGAGGCCAAAGGGTGAGGGGACCTATGGTGTCTGCTCCCAAGATCAGCACCTAGGGCAGAAGTTTAGTGAGTGCAGGAAAACTTGGGGGCCAGCTGGAAGACAGGCTGAGCATTGTCTTGATGAGGGTCCAGGGGTTTGAGTGTATGCGTGGTCTGAGAGGCTAGGAGTGGACATGGATCCTGTTTGGCTTCATTTCTGGAATAGGGTATTCCAGGCCTACAACCACAGGGCTCTCTGTTGATTTTTGACCTCTCTAGAGCACAGGGTCACATGTTGGAATGTCTTCCCTGCCATACTGCTGTGCGCCTTAGGAGAGATGGCTCACAGCATTCTTTGGGGGCGGGACCAGGCCACTTTTGTGGGGGCTCGGAGTGGACAGCCCTCCATCCTCACTGGCCTGCCTGGCCCACTGTGGACATAAGCAGGGAGTGGGGGAGACTGAGAAGTGGCCCCCTGGGTGCAGACTCTCTCTTTTATCTTGGCTCTTCCGGGTTCCTGCTCCTGTCCCTGTTCCCTTGTTCCTCAGGTCTGAACATCCATGTGGGCAGTATCCTGGGATGAGTTCACACAGTTTTGGAGTAGTTGAGGAAGGAACCACTGAACACTAGACGATCTGAGTCCACATCTGGACTCTGTCACTTACTGTGTGAGTTTGGGTGAATGCTGAACATTTCTGAGTCTTCGGACCATCACTGGAGGGCCTTAATAGCAACAGTAGCTACAGGGTAATCTCAGTATTGAAGTCAGTGAGGATGCAGCCTGTACCTGAGTGATGATTTAGACCTGAGCCCTGGTCTGCTGGGTATGGGGCAATAGGAGGCACAGGAAGAAGCTGAGATAGGTGAGCAAATGCAGTCATTATACTCACTGTAATAATAATAATAATGATGGTGATATGTAAAAATGGAGCCACTTAACTTGAAGGTGAGGGGTGGGAGGGGGAAAAGGAGAGAGAATGTGGGAAGGGGTAACATGTTATCAAGAAGCATTGTACTCATAACCTGATTTATAGAATTGTAACATCTTTGTGCAACTACTTAATAATAAAATAAAAACAATTAAATAAAGGGGAAAAAAAGGGAAGCCGGGCACCAGTGGCTCATGCCTGTAATCCTAGCTACTCAGGAGGCTGAGATCTGAAGGTGCAGGATTAAATCCAGCCCAAGCAAGAAAGTCCATGAGACTCTTATCCCCAATAAACCACTCAGAAAACCGGAAGTGGCTCTGGGGCTCAAGTAGTAGAGCGCTTGCCTTGAGCTGAAGAGCTGAGGGATGGTGCCCAGACCCAGAGTTCAAGCCCCACGACCAACAAACAAACAAATAAAGGTAGCTGAGCTGGGTTGACACCACTAGATGTCCCAGCACCATGTAGAATGAGCAGCCGGGGAACTGGGCCAATGACTTTTGGCCATCTCCATGCCCGTGTGTGGGTCCTATACATGTCTTGGTGTGTCCCCATCTCGCTAGTCTGTGACTGAAGCCCATCTGCAGCCAGGAGCATGCGCCCAGGAGGGAAGGGCTGGCTGGGCTGTGTGGGACCTGGGAGCCTCATTCAGGCTCTGACTGCTCCCGCCAGGCAGTGTGTACCTCTGTGCCCAAGAACTGTGGGGAGGGGAGGTTAGAGAATGGCACAAACATTGAAAGCTTTTGTTTTTTTTTTTTTTTTGTCAGTTATAGGGCTTGAACTCAGGACCTGGGCACTGTCCCTGGGCTCTTCTTGCTCAAGGCTCATCGTGCTCTACCACTTTGAGCCACAGAGTTACTTCTGATTTTTGAGTGACAATTGGAGATAAGAGTCTCACAGGGGTATTTCTGCCCTGGCTGGCTTCAAACGGCAATCCTCAGATATCAGCCTCCTGAGTAGCTAGGATTCCAAGACACCAGCACCTGGCTTGGAAGCTTTTGATTGGAAGTCCAGTCTAGGTTTTGGGCAGCACTCATTCTCCAAGCCTGTATTCCCTCCTCAGTAAGTAGAGCTACATGGTGCCCTTGTATGTGGCCACAGGGACCATCCCTCAGCCCCAGCCCATGCACAGCAGCTCTGCTGAGAACCCAAGAAGATGGCTCGGAGAGAACTTTGTGTAAGCCACTGAGCCCCACAGTGCCCAGGCTGGTGCTGGGGCAGAGCAAATGGTTTTCTATATCTTGTGAAGTGTTTTAACCTTTGAGGAGGAATGTGTCTGCAGGCACAGCCCTCTGTACTGTCTCCATCCGGGTGACCTGGTATTGACCTTTTTCTTCTCCCCAGCAACATGTCTGATGCCCTGGCCAATGCCGTGTGTCAGCGCTGCCAGGCCCGCTTTGCCCCTGCGGAGCGTATAGTCAACAGCAACGGGGAGCTGTACCATGAGCACTGCTTTGTGTGTGCCCAGTGCTTCCGGCCCTTCCCGGAGGGGCTCTTCTATGAGGTGAGGATGCTGGGCAGGGGAAGTGGACACTGGAACCCTCAGCTTCCTCCTGGGGGTCTGGGTCTGCCTGATGACAAGGCTGGGCCTTGACTTCATGGATCCCTGCTTGCCATACCTGTTGGTGCCCAGCCCTCACTCATGACTTGTGAACCTAGTGCGTTACCCTCCTCCTGCCTCCACTAGGCGGAGGCTGCACAGCCCTTTGGAGAAGGAAGGCCTTGCCCTCATGGTGCTTCCCCTCTATTTGGATCAGCTTGTAAATGCAGTGACTAACTGGTCCATCAGACAGACAGAGGCTTTGCTATGCTAACATGGAATCTCAGAGTGAGAGATCAGGGAAGGAACATTTGAGGATGCCTGAATGGAGGGGAGTCACTCACATGTCTGTAAGGAGAGCACACAGTGGGGGTGCAGCATGTGTAAAGGCTCTGTGGTAGGGGCATACGGGGTGCTGGGGAGCAGCAGGAGGCTGGGGAGATGGAAGCAGAGTGAACGAGAGGGAGAGTAGCTGCAGGCAGAGGTGAGGAGGTGGCTCTCCTTTGATCCTGTGGAGTTGCACTGGGACTCAGTCTTCCTCTCTGAGAGAGTGGAGCCACCCAGCATGGGAACAGAGAACTCAGACCATCTGCCTGACCCTGGAAAGGGCCCCTCTGAAGCCAGGTCCAGCAGTCCACTCCTGCAATCCCATCAGGAAGCTGAAGTAGTAATGGTTGTGAATTTAAGTCCAGCCTGAGCTACATAGACTGTCGCAAAAAATACAAAAGGAGGGAAGGGAGAGAGGGAGCAGAAAAAGATAAAGGCCTCTTTTATTGGTCACAGTGTTAAGCAGAGTCAACAAGCAGGCAAGAGCTGGAGCTGGGAGACTAGGTAGGAAGAGGAGTCTACCTCCCAGTCCAGGTGAACGTGAGGGAGACGGGCTGACTCCCCCAGGGGCTCACAAGTGCAGGTTGGTAAGTCTTCAGTCACATAAACCAGTTGTTAAACAAAGCCATTAAACAAATTAGAGAAACGTGCGGTGAGATCACATTTTTATTGAAAACGAAAATAACAAATACTTAAAAAGAGCATTTTCTCATTACTTTGCTACAAGCTTTTCATCTGTGTTTCTGAGGTTATTTCTGTCCATCCTGCCTAGGACGTGGTGGCTGTGTACTCTCCTCAGCTTCACAGCTGTATCCTATCGCTGGCCTGGGATGGGTCCACAGGGAATGTTTATGTCCTGGCAATTGGCTAACACTGGGCCTTGATGGCCATGTGCCGGCCCCCCTGGCCTGTCCCACAGAGCTGAATGTTGAGCATTGGCTGGCACCACGCTGGTGGTGTCTGCAGGGAAGGGAGGACCAGGGTTGGAAGCTGAACGTATTATGATTCATGTGTGGGCTGGTGAGTGGATGTGATCTGCCTAGTGGAATGGATGCTGCTCTCCCAGAGTCTCCCAGACTCGTGAATGTTCTGGCTAATGGTGGAAGCGGCGGGTGGGGTGGGAGGAGCTCTGGAAGGGGACTGTGCACCCACAATGAAGTTTAGCATGGAGGGGACGTTCAGGAGATTTTGTATAAACCTCTGCTGTGTCTTACGTTCCCAAGAAGGGCTGCACAGCTGCAGTCTCGTGACACTCATTCTAGGAAACTGGAAAGCCAACCTGTCTAACCTTTCTTTTATAAAAAAAAAGGCAAAAAATGGTTAGGACAGAGGAAAGCAGAGGAAGGTTGTAATCAGAGCATGGGCATCCCTGCCTGGATACTGGTGGTGTCTGCTTGCTGAAGATTTGGCCTACTCCTGGGCCCACTCCTGGGCTTTCCTGAACTTACACTCAGCAGTCCCTGGGGTGCTGGACTGCTCACACAGGAAGGTCTCAAGAGTTGGGGCGAAGAGATGCATAGTATTAAACTTGACCTCATCCTGAGCTGGAGCTCAAGTGTCTACTTCCTCCTGCCTTGGCCTGTTCTCAGGAAGCACAGTGCCAAGACCTTCTGCGCAACAAGGGCCCTCACAGAGCTGGCTTGGGGTCTCTGCAGCACCTGCCAAGACCCCTCATTCTGCACTCTCTATCCCCTGCCCCAGCCTCCGTCTGGAGGCCTCTGCTCTCCTGCTGTGCCCCTTTCCCCATATCAGGTACTGGCTGACAGAGATTCATGAATGGCGGGTGACTTGCTTGTCTTCTGTCTGTGGTCCACTTTCAGTTTGAGGGCCGGAAGTACTGCGAACATGACTTCCAAATGCTCTTTGCTCCATGCTGTGGATCCTGCGGTAAGGGCTGGCAACAGCACACACCCTGGGCTGCCCCACAAGTGGAAGGAAGGCAGGTGGGGACGTAGCATGACCACCTCACTCAAGTCTCTCGGAGCATTGCTCTTCAGAGCAGCCTTTTCCCACACTGTAGATGAACACCTCAGACCAGGCTGAGCCGGGTATGGGTGGTATCTCTTGGGGAGGAGCCTGAGGGTAGGGGCAGCAAGGACCTCTTTTCTTCCAGGTGAATTCATCATTGGGCGTGTTATCAAGGCCATGAATACCAACTGGCACCCAGGATGCTTCCGCTGCGAGCTGTGTGATGTGGAACTGGCTGACCTGGGCTTTGTGAAGAATGCAGGCCGGTAAGTGGCCCTGTCTGTCCAGGACAGAGAAGGGACCAGGCGCCTTCCAGGCCGCATGTCCTGTCCTGCCTCGGCTGTGCACTCCCTTCTATACCATGCCTGAGGAGGAGCCATAACTGTGATGGATGGAGCTTTGGGTTGGGTGAACTCCCTGGGGGCCATGCTACCCCCTCCCCAGCACCCACACAGCTGAACGTTGCTGGAGAGAAATCACTGCTAAGGTGCAGTGCTCTGCAAATTAGAAGCCTTCCTCCTTTCTTCCCAGCCCTTCCCTGTGACTCTTACTTCTATCTTCACACCTCCCCATCAGCCGGTCCAGTAGCTGTGGGGGAGCCCCTGCCTGGAGCCCCAAGCAGCTTCCCTCCTTCACTGGGACTCCCTAGTCTTTTGTGGGGGGGGGCAGCACCACTCCCTGAGAGCCTTCTGGGTTGTGCTGGCTGCCTCAGGATGGAGAGTGAGCACCTCTGAACAGCATTTCTGGAAAAGTTCAGCTCCCCCTGCCCCCACCTCTTAACTACTCAGCTGCCCACCTGCCATCTCCACTGGGGGTCCACTGGAAATCCCATGTGCAATAGATCCTCAACTGAGCTGTGCATTTCTTCTCCACTGGTTAGCAAGTCTGTTCCTCTTCCTATCCCTGTGGTGGGAAAGGCAGAATGAGCTGGCAGACATCCCAATGTGTCTGTACCCTGGGCACTTGATTCTCTCTCACAACTCCATTGGTCCCTCCTGCAGTGAGTGAGCTTATGTGTATCTGTTCCAAGGGAGAAGTTCACAGCTTTGTGGCAGTGCTGACCTGTAGAGTTCACACAGAGCCTGGTCCTTAGCCGGGTGTTTTGGTGAGGGGCCATGGGACCATGTGGTCCAGTGGAGTGGGTGAGTGACAGCACTGTGCTGGTAGAGGGAGGCAGTGCTGGCCGGCTGTAGAGAACCCAGATGCGGGCCTGCAGTGAGTCCTGGTCCCTGCGGGAGCCAAAGCTTTCCTGGGGACATTGTCCGACTGCTGGTTGGGGAAATTAGAAGAGACCGGAAGTATTTTAAAATGTAAAGTGTGATAGGAGAGCACAGTGCTGCTGTAATCACAGGGGCCAGGGACAGGGTGGTGTTGAAAGGATGAGTAAAGTAAGTCCTTGTTCCCACCCTTGGGCCAGACTGGAATCTGGAACCCCTGATGCAGAGCCGTCTGTACGCATGGGGTCAGGTGGCCTGGGGCCACCAAACCACAGCTCTACTCCCTGCCCACTGCACCATATTGCTGTTCTTGGGTGAACCTGAACAGATCTGTCATGTTGAGCAATCACAATAACCTCCTTCGTCTTAAAGCTATAATTACAGTTATGATCAGTACAAACAAGGACATAAAAGGATGTGTTAGAGCAATGTGTGCACACTGCCAAGGGAAGCAGTTCCAAGCTGAACTGGCTGGGGCTGGTGGAGGCCTCTTGGAAGGGAATGAGGCTCAGGATGCCTCTGTGGGGTCTGGGTTGGTGGGAGACAGGCTCAGCATCTGGTTTCTGACCTGAGGTCAGCTCCCAGGTCACCCTGTCCATCCAAGAGGCTCAGGATTGTCAGGCCACAGGCAGCAGACAGGAGTAAGAGTCCATTATTGAACTCGGTGCTCCCAGACCAGGACAGTTGGGGTGGGGAGTGTCACAGACATCCAGTTTAAAATGTACTTGCAAAGTTTGGCTGTCATTTAACAGTCTGTGTCTCCCCTCCCCCTTTACATTCAGGAAGGGGTCATCTGGCCAAAGGGCCACAAAGGGAACTTGGTATACCTCATACTTCAAAAGAAATATTCAGACACTGTTGCAGCTCTCTACCAACGTTTGTAAGTGGCCAGCCTGTCGAGTCCCAAGTGGCCTGCCTTCTGGATCTTTTCGCAGGGCTCTGTTGCTGTGCGTGTCTGGTGTGGGAAGGAGGCCTACTGGGGAAAGAAAGATCCTCATTGTTTCAGAATCACTCCTCTTTCTCTCTTCCCCCTTTACACAGATGAAGTCATCAAGCGTCTGGGGGCCTCAAGGGAGCAGGGACAGCTCAGGCCCTGCAGGGGCAGCCTGTCCATCTCCGTTGTGAGTGGGTGGTTAACACTGATCTCTCACGGGGCGACCTTGATGCTCAGATCGGGAGGGAGGGGTGACAACCTGCTGAGATTTCAGGTCCCTTTCTCAGCACATGTTGGGGCTTGTGACATGCTCACCCAGGAGGTGGCCCTCCTGTGGCAGTCCATGGCTGGCTCGGGGGCAGTACGTGGGGCTTACAGCTCTGACCTGGCACTCAGCGAGCTCTCATTGGTTTTCCCTTCAAAGCTGGGGGGTGGACCTGTGAGCTTCTTGCCACAGAGCAAGTTACACAGGGCATGGCGAAACTTCTCAGCCACGAAGAAGTACATGACAGGGTCGAGGGCCCCGTTGAGGCTGGTGAGGCAGGAGGTGATGCGGTTCCCGAGGGCCAGGACACGCTGGGCCGTGCAGGAGGTCCCGCTGCCTTGGTAACGCAGCACATAGATGGAGCGGTGGACGTGGTAGGGCACAAAGCAGATTAAGAAGATGGCCAGCACAATGGCGATCATGCGCACAGCTTTGTTCTTGAGGCGCTTCTCCACGCGGGGGCCCTGCCGCAGGCTGCGGATGATCAGCAGGTAGCAGGTGACTGTGGTGACGAAAGGGAAGGTAAAGGCCACAGCCAAGGATGCCAGGGCGTGCTGGGAGGCCTTCTCCCGGTACAGCTGCAGGCACACCACCGTGTGGTTGGTCTGCACCGTCTGGGGGCTGCCCAGCAGTGGGGCCATGGCCACGGCCACCACCACCCACAGGAAGGCACAGGCCAAGTGGGCGTAGAGGGGCCTGCGCAGCTTGAGGGACCTTACGGGGTGCACGATGGCCAGGAAGCGGTCAGCGCTGATGCAGGTGAGGAAGTAGATGCTGGCGTACATATTGAGGTAGAAGAGGAAGCCAGTGAGCCGGCATGGGATTTCCCCAAATGGCCAGTGGTTCCCGGAGAAATGGTACACCAAGCGGGTGGGCAGGACCAACACGCAGGACAAGTCGGCCACGGCCAGGTGCATCAGGAACACATTGGCCGGAGTGCCTGACTTGCGGTCCCGTATGAAAAGCCATAAAGCCAGAGCATTGCCCACAAAAGCTAAGATGAAATCCAGGAGGTAGAAGCACGCAAACAGCACATTCTCCAGTGGTGTCTCCTGCCCACATTGCTTGGCCTCGGCCAGGGAGGAGTTGTTGCTCAGACTCCAGGAGGTCACCTCCAGGCCATTCATGCTTTGGCTGGAGGCAGAGCTGGGTCAACCCTGGAGGAAATATGTGATCAGGTGATGGGGAGCCTGGATGGCGAAGCTTCGTACTTCCTGAGTTAGAAATGGGACCTCCCAGGCCCAGAGCCTCCCACCCCCGCCCTGAGAGGAAGGGAGCCACTCCAAGTCCATCACTGTTCTGGGACAACTGTAGGGATGTCGTGTGTCTTTCAGAGGGGGCTGAGCACTGGGACATCTAAACTTCAGCCAAGGCACACAAGGATTTCCCTCAGACTCTCCCTACCAAGCAGCTGTGCCTTTGCTGAGCACAGCTTCATGAAGCTCCCCGGGCTTCATGAAGCATTTGGGCACAGGACTAGGGCCTCCGTGGAGGGGTGTGGGCAGGTTTGGCTATAGCAGGAAGCTTGATGGCGCTCTGTGGTCAGGCAGCGGCAGTGGCCTATAGGGCACCTCTCCCACCCTGCCTCCAGACACACCTGCATCTTGCTCCTTCTTGGGCTGAGGGGCCCTAATGGCTAGCGGTGCAGGTGCTGGGTTCTGAATGACTGTCATTGCAGCCCGAGTCTTGAGCAAATCTCTCTGACCCGGACAAATCAGAACACAGTGCTGTGGGTTACACTAAGTGCAGACTATGATACTTAGGTCAAACCATTATTAAAGGGACAGGAACAAAAGAGCTCCTCTCCACCATGGTGACTCTGCTCTGGGTTTCCCCTTCTTGCTCCCTCCTCCCCACACACCTTTGCCTCTTACCTCTTACAGCTGATCCGGGAGGAGATGGTAGGCGAACTCTAGGCTGTGGTGGTGATGTTGGCTGTGCTGGCAAGAGGGCTCCGTGCAGCTGTGGGTGGGAAGCTGGCTATTTAAGGGGTAGCTGTAGCCCTTCTGCCCTGAAAGGCCACTTCATTCCTGAGGGGTCCCTTGTAGGGCGGGCTGCGCCTCTGGCTGCCTGTGCTGCCACAGGGGCTGTGAATATTCCAGTGTGTCCCCGGCCTGTGCACTCCCCCCTCCCCCCGCAGCCTGGCCGCTGAGCATCACAGTGTGTGGCTGTGTCGGGAGCCCGGGAGTGAGTGGGGCCGGGGTCTCTGGCTGGGACTGATGGACACAACAGGACGTTTCAGAAGGGGATGACTTCCTACTAAGGAGGGAGAGATGGAGGGGGGCAGCCACCATGGCAACAGGCCAGGCTCCCAGGCCTGCTGGGCCCAGGAGGGTGTCCTGAATGGAGAGGGTGGGAAGCTAAGGAGGCTTGTTTGCCCAAAGAGAGGGGATTCTTTGAGGGTCTGCGTGTCCTGCCCTGTATAATTAGGCACCGCTCTGGCGTGTGAGATAAATCATGGCCTTTATGTGGAACCCAGCACAGCTGCAGGCCAAGTTATAATGGGGTGCTGTCTGTCCCACGAGGACGGACACAGCCCCACGGCCATGGGCCCTCGCCTCTGCAGGCCCCTCCTCTACCCGGGGGAGAAGAGCCACTGCAGCCCTCTGACCCCCGGCCCCCAAGGCTTCTCCCAGGGTGGTTCCAGGCTTGAGTGGCAGCTTTGAGGTCTCAGGAACTCAGGCTTATTTAGTCCTCCTGTTTCCAAAAATGGTTCTTCACTAATTGGGGGTGGGATAAAGGGATAAAAATCAGCCCTCCTATTCTCAAAAGACTCCAGTGTTTTAGTTAAAATACTAAAACTGTATGTGGCTAGCTAGCATTGGGGAAGACCTGCCACCACACCACCTCACATCGATCATTTCCCACAACCCTGTGCACTCCGGACTGTTGTTCCATTTGACAGATAAGGAAAGCAAGGTTCAGAGAGGTGAAGCAACTTACCCAGTGGCAAAGGCTAGTTAGGGGCAATCATGTGACACTCCACCAGTTAAGCTTTATGTGTTTAGTTTTGTTCTGTTTTTTTTTTTCCTGCTATATATCGGTGCTACACATTGGCGGTTCCTTTTGAATTCTACCTGAATTCTGAAGGTTTCTTTTGGATCTGGTGCTGGGATGGGTCTGTCCTGAGACTGCTTCCCCTGTGCGGGAGGATTCCCTGCAAGACTGCATTTGTGCAGCCTCTCCTGCTGGTGTTAGAGCGTGTGAAGGTGCCTGGGCACGGGTGTGCGCCTCTCTCTTCCCTGTCTGCGCCTCAGGAATGGTTGTCTGGAAGAACTGACTCATACTGGCTAGAAATGGGGGAATGAGAAATTGGCTGCTCTGAGCACTTTTGGACTCATGGATTTATTATTATTTTGTGTTCAGAACGAACCTGGCATCTCACACTGAGCTATACTCCCAGTCACCCTGATGGGGTCTATCACTACTGATGGTAGCTTCAAAGACATGGATCATTGCAAAGAATTTTGGGACTTGAGTGGATGGTGTGTGTGTGTGTGTGTGTGTGTGTGTGGACTTGAGTGGATGGTGTGTGTGTGTGTGTGTGTGTGTGTGTGTGTATGTGCTTGTCCTGGGGCTTGAACTCAAGGCTTGGGTGCTCCCCCATAGCTTTTTTGCCCAAGACTCTACCACTTGAGCCACAGCTCCACTTCTGGCTTTTTAGTGGCTCTTTGGAGATAAGTCTCGTGGACTTTCCTGCCTGGGCTGGCTTCAAACTTCAAGTCTCCGATCTCAACCTCCAAAATAGCTATGATTACAGGTGTAAGCCACAGACTCCAGACCAAGTATTTGTGGTTTTGTTTTCTTCTTCTTTTCTTTTTTCTTTTTTTTGTTTCTGAAACAGGGTCCCACTATCTAGTCTAGGCTAATCTTGAACTCATGATCCTCTTGCCTCAGCCTCCAGAGTGGTAGGATTTCAGACTTGTACCACCATGCCCAACTATGTGGAGCTACTTTCTAAAGCTTGGAAACCATTACTCTATATGGTTGAATGCATCCTCATGCTAAGGAGGAGTTGCAAAATTATGAGAGATAAAAAAGTGATGAGGAATGAAACTGTGATATGAAAGAGTCACAGGGGATAGGGGCTAGCCACAGTGGGGAGGGCACTTGGCCCTAGGCCTGCTATAAATGTAGCCTGGATGGGTGCTGGGGCACAGATGTCTGAGTGAGTAGTCACCATGACAAGGGCTACAGTCACAGGCCATATCTGCTACCATTTTGGGATAGGGAGACCCAGGGGTCCTGGACTCCTATCTTGGACTCCTATCTGGGCTTGGGCCATGTTGTCACAAGGAGGTGATATTCACTGTTCTACTTTCTTCTCTTGCACAATCCCTCACTCACTCACATAGTCAATAAAGTGATCTTAAACCACTCTCCATGCTGTGCACATTAGATTGGGGTGGCAGGTGGGGACCAGAAATGAGGGTGTTGAATCTAGGTCTTTGTGAGTCTTTGCTTGGAGACCCTGAATCTAAATTCTTCCCACCTTTAAAACAGAAACTATGTTGATTTCTCTCCCTGTTGAGACCACAGCTGTCACCAGGGCAGGAGCAGTGTCAGAAAGGATTCTGAGATTTTACCAAAAAAAAAAAAAAAGACTCTGTGGTGACAGTCCTCAGCTCAGGGGCCTCCGTGGGACACTGCTGCTCTGTCTCTGGAGACAGAAAGCTCCTGTACTTGCTAGGGCCCCTATTCATCTGGGAGAGCCCAAAGGAAGAGGCCAAGCAGCCGCCTGGTCCTGACCCAGTTGACCACTGTGCTAGGCACAATGTGTTTTTAAAGCTCACATTCACTACAGATCATCTGTATTAAAAAGCATCTGGAAAATAGAACCAGTTTCTCCAGCAAATGTCAACTCAATGTCTCCCCTATGCCACATAATGTCCTAGGCTCAGGAAAATCAAAAAGAAGAAAGATACCACCTGAAGCCAGCGACTATGAGTGTTCTGTTCTTTCTATTCTTTGGGAGCACACCCCTTTCAGAAGGAGCCCCTAGAGCCTTCCAGGCCTCAGGATGGGGCAGGTGGCTCTTCTATACCCTTGGCTGTTTACCTTCAAGGCACCCAGATTCTCACAGCGTCTGCAGGCAGGGTCCTGGGCTCTCTTCTGGATCTGGTCCTGCAGGAGCCAGTAGCCTGCCTCTGCCTCTAACCTTTGTCTCCCATAGACACCTTTGCCGGCCTTGCCACAACCATGAGAAGGCCAAGGGCCTGGGCAAGTACATCTGCCAGAGGTGCCACCTGGTCATCGATGAGCAGCCGCTCATGTTCAGGAATGATGCCTACCACCCAGATCATTTCAACTGCTCCCACTGTGGGTAGGTGCCTAGCCCTGTCCCTGTGGTGCAGGTGGGAGGTGACCAGGGCTGGCAGAGAGGGCATCCTGCATGAGAGGTGCAGGGTGGAGGGGGGGTGTGGGGGGAAGCAGTCTTCTTTCCAGGGCTTTGTTTAGGAACACTTGAAATGTGGAGGCCAAGGGGGGCAGCCCCTCCCTGTGCTGCAGGAACTATGATTAAGAGGGGGTCATGAGGAAGGGGGAGAGAGATGGAGATTGGCTCTGGTGCTGGAAGAGAGGAACTCCAGATCCCTTTTGGTCCCCTTTCAACCCCTCCATGTTGCTTCCAGACACCCATGCTGTGTGAATGGAGAGTGGGGAGCAGGGTGAGGTGGGGGTGGTGGTGAGAACACTTGCTCCTCAGAGGGCGGATGGGGCAGAACACAGGTGCCCTTCTGCAAGGCCTGGGCAGGAATTTTGTGCTCCAGGGCCTGTCTGGGGGCACACAGAGGAAATCCGTCTGAAGACCAGAGATCAGAGAGAGTCTCCGGCTTAGCCTGATGGGGCCCTGGCTACGCAGTGCCCCGGGCTGGAGGTGCAGCAGGGACCCCGCAAAGGGGCAGGAGAGTAACAGGGGTGCTCTGTGCTGTCTTCCAGGAAAGAGCTGACTTCTGAGGCTCGAGAGCTGAAGGGGGAGCTGTACTGCCTGCCTTGCCATGACAAGATGGGTGTCCCCATCTGTGGGGCCTGCCGCCGGCCCATTGAGGGCCGGGTCGTCAACGCGCTGGGCAAGCAGTGGCACGTGGAGGTGAGCCGGGCAGCGGCACATGGCTTCAGGTTGCGTGGTGCCCGGCTCATGCTCCCTCCGTACACCAGCTCAGGCCATTTACCGGAATTTGTTCTGGGTGTGGCCTCTCCTTGTGCTGGCCCATCTAAGGGAGTGACAAGACTTAAGCCAACAGGCACACCCAGATTCTGTCACACCCCTGGAGGCATACTAGAGGAGGTCAGAGTCCGGAGCAAACCTTGGACAGCATCTGCCTGGAGGCCCTGTGGTTGCAGTTAGCTGGGGTACGAACAATCTCACACAGACAGGGAGCACACTGGGTCACCTGGAGCGCTCACCTGTGGACGGAGGACTGTGGTACTCTTAGGGATGTACTCGGAGTGGAGGTTTGCATAGCCAGTGGTCTGGTTCTCTGTGTCCTGAGCTGTGCCACAGTAGCTTGTTTGAGAAGGCCCTGTCAGAGGTCCCTGCCCTTTGGGGAGAGTGTGTTCTCCTATTCTGACTGGGATAGAAGATGCTTCTCAGTTCCTCTGAGCTTGTGGGGTACACAGGAGGTACCCGAATCATAGCAGGGAAGTTCAGCCAGACCACACTACCTCACTGGCACTGGTTTCTTAGTTGAAGGGTGCTGAGGGAGTCTAAGAACATGGGATGCCATCCATGAGTTTGTCCCAAGTGGAGGCTGTCAGGCCTCCTGCCCCGTTGTGAGCCCCACTCACCCGGTTTGCTGGGGTCTCTGCATCAGTCCCGATGCCTCTCTCGCTGCCCTCTTCTCTCTCCCCCTCAGCACTTTGTCTGTGCTAAGTGTGAGAAGCCCTTCCTGGGACACCGGCACTACGAAAAGAAGGGCCTGGCCTACTGTGAGACCCACTACAACCAGGTAGAGCCTGAGGCTGCACCTGCAAGGCCCCTGGGGAGGAGGGAAGGTCGGGACCTGGGGAGCAGAAAGGTGGGCTTGGAGCAGGAGAACTGCTCCAGGGATAGAGGCTGGGCCTGTGTGTTCAGGGTCTTGATAAGTAGGCTATCCTCATCTGAAAAATGAGCCCTGTGGCCCTGAAGGTCCTATTCCAATCCTTGCCCTTTCAAGACACCAGCAGGAGCAGCAGGGCTTCAGGGCCAGTGATGCGTTAGTCTGTGGTCCTTCCTTGGCATGACTCTACTCATCAGCCAAGTGCTGTCACCACAGGCATGAAAGGCTCAGGGCATGCGTGAGAGTGGCCATGCGGGGAGGCCCTGGGCTAGGGCATGGTGCCCACAGCCAACACTGAGAGCTTTCTCTGTTCACAGCTCTTTGGGGATGTCTGCTACAACTGCAGCCATGTGATCGAGGGTGATGGTGAGGCCCACTGTCCCTGCGCCCTTCCCTCCCTGCCCCCACCCACCTGTTTTCTCTCAGTGCTGGGGGACCTGCAGCTGCAGGCCCAGCTGGCTGTGGCTTCACACAGCTGGGCCTTCAGTTGTCTTGGGTAGGGCCTACTAATCCCCTGTCTACCCTCACAGTGGTGTCTGCCCTCAACAAAGCCTGGTGTGTGAACTGCTTCTCCTGCTCCACCTGCAACAGCAGGCTTACCCTGAAGTGAGTCATGGTGGACTTTCTCTGGGGCCTTCCTCTCCTCAGCCTGCTTCCCCTATGCCTGTGTGGTCAGGCTCTGGAGATTTGGGGAAGCAGGGGGCTGCCCAGGGTGAGGGAGGTTCAGGGACCCCCTGGGCATGGTATCATGGCAGTACGGCAGCTGTAAGGATGCTGGGCTCTGGGGAGGGAAGTGCTTTCTACTCTAGGACACAGCAGATGCATCACAGGAAGCCTGAGAGGTAAAGGGTGGGACTCCAATTTCCAAGGCATGAAAGAGAGTTCTGGAATGCCAGACCCTGAGAGAAACCTGTAGAAGGGAGAGGAGGCTCCAAAGCCTATCCATTCCTTCTTGGGTCCTCTTGTCAGAAGCTGATCTCGGGGGCTGGTCTGTTAGCGGGTGCAGGCTGGCACAGGCTGGTGGGGGCCAAGGTCTGAGGAAGCCCACCCACCCCTTGCTTTCAGTCATGGTACGGGATCAGCATTGGTGGGGCACAGACTTCTGGGTTTGGTCCCCAGGAACAAGTTTGTGGAGTTTGACATGAAACCCGTGTGTAAGAGATGCTACGAGCGGTTCCCACTGGAGCTGAAGAAGCGGCTGAAGAAGCTGTCTGACCTGACCTCCCGCAAGGCGCAGCCCAAGGCTGTGGACGTCAACTCTGCCTGAAGCCGTTTCCCACTCCCCCAATCTTGGGATCCCTGCCATCTCCTGGTTGCTTTGGGCCCCTCTGCCCTTCTGGACTGCCTTTCCTTCTCATTTTGCCCTCCCCTCTCTCCTATCCACACATGCTACACCTGCTCAGGTGTCTTCTCTCTTCCTTGCCAGCTCCTCGTTTCCCTTCCATGCAGAGAGAGGTCTACACTGCAATCACATCCACATGCCCACAACCTTTAGGACAGAAGCAAGCTGATGTCAGGGTCACCCACCCCCTGCTCCCGCCTGCCTGACAGCTGTCTTTCCCCACAGAGGACTTGTTGTTACCCACTCTCCTGTGGGGATCTCAGCCTCAGAATGGCCCTGCTATAGCCAAGGCACATGGGGGCCTTCAAGCCCGAGTGGCCTGCCCCAGCCTATGCAGAGGGAGGCTTCATCCCGCCTCACCCTCGGTCTTGTAGATTCCCTGAGTCCACGCTGAGGTGGTAAGGTTCTGCCACTCCCACCCACCAACCAGCTGGAGGGACAAGGACTCCCTTCATCCCACCACTCAGGAGGCCTTGCAGAGCTCCTGTCCTGGCTGCCTGCTCTAGCTAGAGTCAGCATGGAGCCTCTAGACGTGGTCAGGACCCAGCAAGTGATATAGAAAGGGATGGCTCATTCCCACACCTAGGGGAGACTTCCTCCATGGCCAGAGCAGACATGGCACTGGACTCACATACGCACAATAAAAGCAGAGTCACATCCCCGTGGTGGCCTGTGTGGTTTGTGGTGGCTGGGAGGGGGAGATTGGTATGGTCAAAGCTCGTGTGGACCACTGCTGCTGTGTTCACACAGATCCAGACCCCCAGACAGGCAAGCTTGGATCAGGTAGGACCCAGACCTTCCCAAGCCAGGTGTCAAAGGGGCTCAGAGGAAGACCAGCAGAGACCCCCTCAGACTGAATGGCCTGTCCTATGTAGGTTGGCCTGGTGGGTGAGGTGGGCATCTCTCAGGCAGGGCCTGAGAGTGAGGTCTATGTGTATATGTGGGATCATCTAAGCCCCAGATGCGCACTCACCTGAGACCCAGGTCTGCTTCTAGGCCAGGCACAAGCTGTCTTAGGATCCTGCATGCATCTCCATCAAAGCCTCATGAAGGCAGAGCGGACATCCAGTATCCCTCAGGGAGGGGAGCGAATGTGCAGAGGGCCTGCAAGCAGGAGTCTCCAGGGAGCGTCCAGTCATCAGTCAAAACAGGAAGGCAAGAGGGAGGGAGGGAGGGGAAGGATGGATGAGGTCATAGCTGCAGAATGCAGTTAGTGTCTTCTGGCTTTGGAAGAAGTCACCATGTGCTCTGTTTTTGTCTAGAAGCAACCCTTTGGGGGGGGGCTGGAGTCTGTGCCAGGCTGCTGCTCACCTAACACTACCCGCTTTCCCTCATGGACACACTTCCTCTGCTTGATTGATATTTATTGAACACTGTGGGGAGGGGAAGAGAAAGCCATCCGTCATCCACCTTTGGCTTCCATCGTCAGCACTCAAGAGAGAGGAGCTGTCTGGAGGCTGAGGGAGGGGCAAGGGGCAGCATGGAAGGCTGTCTGCAGGACTCCGTGTTGGAGGGTGACTGAGGATAGCAGGGAGCTGTCCCCTGCTAGGAGTGAGCCAGAGCTGGAGGCCGGGGCCCCCGCCGCCTGTTCACTGCACTTAGGAGCTGCTGCACATATGAGGTCAGCAGGTCATCCATCTTGTAGCCCTGCACAGGAGACAAGGTGAGGTCAGAAGCTGTGTATGCATGGAGGACAGATGGGGCTGTGGGTTCTGGGACTGGGGGGCATCTAGCATGTCTATTGCAGCAGGACAGGGCACTGGGGAGAGGGAGGAAATGTCCAGCTACTGGGGCCACCCCACCACAGCCTGCCCTGCCGGCCCAGGTCCCACCCCCTTTCCAGAATAGGCCTGGACTGCACAAAGCCAAAGGCTTTCCCACCATAGCTGCTGTGGTGCCCAGTCTCCCTGTGGGCCTAGGCCTGCCTGACCTCACATGTTGAACAACTTGTTGGGTGGCAATAAAGGTCAAGGTGGGAAGTGGAGTGCCCAGGACTTGTGGGTGATGTCTCTGGCGGAGGATGGGCCTGGACTCACCAGAGACGTCTCGCACAGCAAGCGGCTGCCCCGGCCCAGGCTCCCCAAAGCCATATGGAAGTAGGTGCTGCCACTGCTCCAGCTGGCGATCTTGGTGAAAGGGTAGGTGATGAGCAGCTCCTGGGGACAGAGAGCGGAGAGCAGGGAGCCAGCGTGAGGAGAGAGTGGGGATAGGAGGACAGGGTAGCATGCTGAGGCTGGTGGCTGCAGGCCTGTTTGCATGGGGATCATGACCCTCAGGGCTAGGCCCTGCTGCTCTACCTTGGTCTTGGGATGGATGAGCATCACACCATGTCGGTTGATGGCAATGAGGACAATGTCTGGGTAGGATGGCTCTGATGTTTGCTGGGGAGGGAAAAGCACGGTGGTCACATCCAGCCTGGGAGCCAAGTAGACACTTTGCTGGCATCACCCAGAGCCCACATCCTAACACACACATGCATGCACACTTTCCCACTGAAGCCAGTAGCCAGTCCCACTGCCACGGGTGTCTGGGGCCAGTTGGAGGGGCCTGCAGGAGGTGAGGGCCCGTGCATGGGCTGAGGCACCTACCTTCACCTCAAAGAAGGCAGACCCAAAGGTGGGCCAGCGGCAGATCCACTTCAGGAAAGCCACCTTGGCCTCCTGCACCGTTTTATCTCTGTGCTTGTCACACTCCAGCAGGAGGCTCTGGGGAGAGACAGACCAGTGAGGGCCTGGGCAGGGCCCTGCAGCCAGGACTGAGCCTTTTATGCAGGCCATGGACATCTCAGGTCACCATCCACACACCAGAGAGCCGGGCTGTGCTGGAGTGGAGGGGTGTTAGCCCAATGAGCTCCCTTCCCATAGCTTAGCATTCCCCTTCCCATTTCCACAGCTTAGCATGCTCTCTTCCTAGGCAACACTAGGCCCATTTAGTACAGGCAGTAAATAATCAGCTTTCACCCCCTTTGCCTTGAGATGGCACTCCTCTGGGGCAGCTACCACCATCTAAGGCAGCAAGAGCCCCTTAGAGTGACCTTCAGGTCTGGGCAGCTGCAGGGCACCTTATCTACTACTTGGGCAGCAGCCATAAATCCTAGTCTGCCATGATGAAGCCCCTGGTCCACACTGGGTCTCTGCCTCCTATCCCTTTCTAGCTCCTCCTAGCCTCAGTAGATTATATAGACAATAGCTGGTACTTTCTCTTACTCCTCTCTTGTGAGATGGGGTCTTGCCAGTCCCTTTCCTGGCAATAACCTTTTTCGTTGTTCTTTGTACCCGGATGTCTGCGTGGTTTTCTGGCAAAGTCTAATTTGTTCTAACAAGAGGGATGGAAAATATCTAGGCGCTGTGGGTATGACAGTGTGATTTTCATCCCCACCTCCCATGCTCAGCAATGCTCATCATGCCCAGGCAGGGGCCCAGCCCTAGTAAGAACCTTTTTCCATTCTTCAGAGGACATCAGGCGTATCAGGTTCTCAGGCACCAGTTCCTTCAGGACCTTGGGGAAGCTAGCCAGCGGAGACCGGTCATTGTCGAACTGAGCCTTGCAGATGAGGCCTGCCAGGTGGATGGCATCCTCCCGGGAACATTTGTGGAAGCCACGCAGGTACTTGGGCAGCTCCTGAGGAGTAGACATGTTGGGCCTTAGTCTATAGCTGACCTCCCATCTTTATGCACGGATAGCAGGGGCCCAGAGTTTGAGTGTACCACCTCCCTGCAAGCCAAAGGCTGGGTCCTCAGATCAGTGCTTCTGGCCCAAGGTGATGGCTCCCATGTCAGGTCATCCCCAGCAGGAGCTGTGGTCTGCTCTGTCCATTTCCAGGTAAGGCCTCTGAGCCAGGACTTTAGTGTTTTCTACATGCTGGCTCCCCAGCAGCATGCTTTGAGGGACAGTGCAGATACTGTTCCCGGAAGCTGTTATGCTCAGCTCGTAGGTCCAGAGCTCTCAGGGTCTTGGTCTGTGCTGGGTCCCGGGGCCAGGGAGTCCCTACCCAGGTGTCAGTTTCTCCACGCCCCAGGTCAGGTATGGGACAGAATAGGTGTGGCCAAGTGACAGCCCCAAGGACAGCCTGCTGCGTACCTGGTGGTAGTGGAGTATGGTGTCTGCGTTGATGTCTTTTCCTGGGCTCACGTTCAGCCACAGTTTCCGCATGAAGTACACCTGGTAAGGGAGGGTCACGGGGGCCCCTGGGACAGGGGCAGCAGTGGGCACCATGCCAGTTCTGGCAACTCCATGGCCCACTCTGATGGTCCATGCCCCCAACTCCTGCCTGTAGCACACGCTCCTGGCTTACTACACCATTCCTACTGCCTCATCTGGAAAGCCTCTGTTCCCCATCCTCTCCAACCCCCAACTCCTCCCTCTCCTTTCGGACCCATGCAGGAGTGCTCCTTCAGGAATGTCCCTTGTTCCCCATGGAGTTGAGCCTGGTACCCTTTGTCACCCTGAAGAAAGCCACCTACGTATCAGAAGAGTTTGTGTGAATGACTAGACAGACGTGGGGCTATACAGGAGGTGCCTGGCAGTCTGTATCTACTCTCTATCCTTGCTCCTCCTCCACAGAGGCCCCCTCACCTTCTTTCTGGGGCTTGTTCTTCTTTACCCAGTCAGACACCTGCCTCAAGCTGTCAAAGAAGAAGTCTCCTTCCTTCTGGCTGATCACCTTGGACACAAGAAGGGTGATAGGTTCAGGGACTTCCAAGGGAGCATCCTCCTGTTTGATCCTCAGGGGTTTAGGTCATCAGCTTTGGGCTAGAAGGCTTGATGCCCTCTTGGAGCTGGAGTTAGACTGCCTATGGCCAGTTGTGTCTGGGGCCAGGGTTTGGGCTCTGTGACTCCCCTGCTTTGTCCTGGCAGTCAGGATGTGCAGGAGTCCTGCGTCTGCAGGGAGTGTTGAGATCCCCTCAATATGGGAGACCCTCGCAACATATCCTGGGTTTGCCAGGGTAGCACACCTTGTCTGTGATCTTGATGAAGAGGCTGCAGCCTTCCCAGGAGGCCAGCTGGAGCCGAGCAGTGATGGCCTCACACACATCCCGAACGCGACTGCTGCTGCCCACCTCCAGGATCTGGGCAGAGAGATGGCGGGTGAGGCCAGGGGCCTGGCCTGGATCCCAGATCTCCTTAAGTGGATGTGCTGGGGGCACTGCATAGCTGAGATGACTGATCAACCCATGCCTCAGCTCTTTCGTAACACTGACTGTTCTAAGAACAGCAGGGCTGCCCTCCAGAAAGCCGGCCAGATGTCACGCTGCTTAGTCACAGCACTTCTGTCTAGTGTCCAGGCTGGACCCGAGGCCTGGCCCTTTGAATGTACTTCGAGAGATTGATTGCTAGACTGTGGGAATTTTTCATTATAGGAACTGGACAGTCCCCAAGGCTTTATTATAAAGGCCACTTCCCTGGGGAAGTTGTTAGGCTTGCCCCACTGGCTTCCTCCCTACTTTTGCTGCTTCTTGGCCAAATGCATCTTTATCACAGCTGGAGTGTGCTATTCTTCCACCTCCCATGCATCCCCTTCAGCCTCCCCGGCAGCCAGGACAGCTTCGCGCAGGCCCGACCGGGCTGTGGCTGCTTGGCAAAGTCTGACAATTGCTACAGGCACTGGTGGGGCACTCACCTTGTTGGCATCCATGCCCAGTATGGTCAGATGCCCCTGGGGATCTCCAAGCCCTGGAACTCAACCTTGTCAACCCTTCTCCCCTCTGGCCTCCTCTCTCCCTCCTTAGCTTAGACACTCTCTAATGCATACCTTTGGAGAGAGTCCCCATTTCCACTTGCACCAGTGGCTCCCACGGCCCCTCTTTGAATCCTTTTCCTCTGGGCAGCGCAGCCCTGATGCCCTGAGGCAGGTGGGCAGAAGATTGGGCTACCCATCACCAGGGATGCTGCTGCTGAAGGTGAGATCGTCTCTTGGACATGCAGCATGTGGCTTTGCTCAAGTTATCCCTGAGCATGCTCGGCCAGTGGGAGGGTGGCTTGCTGCCATTGCAGCCCTGAGACTTGTTGGGGGCACTGCTTGGGGGGACTCACCTCACTGGTGTCATTGGGGAAGTGGACTTGGTGGGACAGACGGGAGACATTCTGCTCAGCGGCCGTCACTTCCACCTGGTGTGGAGGCTGCTTCCGAGGCCCAGTCCTAAAGCAGGACGGTGAATGATGCAGGTGCCACCTTTACCTTTACCCTTCCCCCTCCCCACTACCTCATCCCTACCTCAACCCATGACCCTACTCTCCCACCAGCCACCGGCCTTCACGTGAGCCCTAAGCCAAGTGGCAGAGATAAGAACATCTTTCCTCCAGTGACTACCGAGTAAGTTCAAGCCCCCACATTTCTCAGAGAGGCTGCCCCTGCCTGGTAGACCTGTTGTGTAGCCCTGAGGCTTAGCATTCCAGTGAGGCCTGGGAAGGCTTGGGACACAGGAGGGGAGGGGATCCTGGATGAGACATGGTGAGAGGACTGGTTATTTACTGATCATTGTGTGCTAGTCCTAGGGGCTTGAACTCAGGGCTTCATACTCCTGCTTGATTTTTACTCAGGGCTGGCAATCTACCACTTGAGCCACAGCTCCACTTGTGACTGTTTTTGGTGGTTAATTGCAGGTGAAAGTCTCATGGATTTCCTGCCTGGCCTGGCTTTGAACCTCAGTCCTCCTATTTCCTATCTCTGAATAGCTAGGGTTACAGGTGTAAGCACCTGGCTCTGGCAGTGCTCTTGTTCTTACACATCAGAACACTGGGAGGAGGAGGGAAATGGCGCATGCACTGGAGGGGATGGATCATTAGGCCACGCTGAGGGATCTTGGTCACCATAGGCCTCCAGAGGGCTCCCCGGATCTAGGGTAGGCAGTACAGGGGCAGCGAAGCTATAAGCAAGTGAGCCACTGCATCTCAGACCACCCAGGCTTCCCTGGGACCCTCTTGGGCCTGACCCCCCCCCCCCCCCCGCGGCTGGGCCGAGGGTGGTGATCTTACCTCAGGACCCTCTGCAGGCGGCGACTGCAGTCAGAAGCCAGTAGCTTCTTCCTCCGCGTGTCTATGAACTTCTGGGTATGGGGCAGCAGTGCCTTGCTGGGTGGAAAGAGGCCCGTGCAGAGCCAGAGTAGCTGCCAGCCTCGCTCTTCACTGTACCTGGAAAGCAGAGCCTGTCAGGAGAGATGGCTCTTACCCGGTGTCCAGTCCAGCTAGGCGCCTTGGGAGGCAGAGATGTGAGATCTGCCTTGGCCTGGGGCCTGGAGCCAGGCAGGGGAGGCAGGGGTACCGGCAAACGCTATGTTACAGCAGCCGGTGACCACGGTGCCTCCAGCACCACAAGGCTTTCGCAGAGGGAGGGTGTCATTGAGCCCATTTTGTGGGCTCAGGGGTTCAGAGAGGCCAAGGCCTGTCCAGGTGAGACACAGAAAGGGTGGGAGTGGACAGGGTGCAGGGTACAGGATGGGCCTCTTCCCTGGGCTGAGAGCAGAGCAGGGCTCAGGCTCCCTGGCAGACCTGTTGGAGTTGTTTGTCAGCTGCTTCAGGATTTGGCAGTAGACTTCCTCCTGCAGAGCGGAGTCCTGCAGGGCCAAGGAGAATATCTGGTCTGTGAGCTCCAGAGTGGGCCAGGCCTGCCGTGAGGGGTAGTCGCCCATGTACTTGAGGATGGGTGTGACTGTTAAGGAGAACAGTGCTGGCGGAGGGGCTCAGGCTGATGATCAAACTACCCGTGCCCCCCTAACCCAGGCCATCCATTGAGCCAGGGTGTTCGCAGGGGTGCTGTGAGCATAGGCCTGGCCCTTGGTCACAGCTGTGGGCCCAATGTGCAGGGAGGGCAGGACGCTGGGAAAGGATATCGAGGAAGGTCTGGCAGGCAATGTCCCTCAGGTCGGCTTTGTCCTGGACACGCCTGAGCAGGGGCTGCCGGAGCGGCTCTGTGGAGTAGGCCCACAGGTGGCCCCGGTTGCGGGCCAAGGGCAGCCTGGCTCTGCCGATGGTCTCCTTCTCTGGGGCCCTGTCAGGGACGCAGGTAGAGTGAGACCCTGCCCCAAGGCCTCCTCTGCTCTGTGCCTCCTCTCTCCTCTGTCCCACTCCCAGGATGTCTGCAGGAGGCCAGAGGATCTCCTTGCCCCTCCAGGCACCCTCCTGTCCCGGGGGGTAGGGGGGCAGGTGGGCCACACCCTGTGCCTCCTCCGGCTCTCAGGGCATGGTAGGGAGAGTGGGCACCTGAAGAACTGCAGGGAGAACTCCTCCAGGGTGTGTGGTGCCTCCTTGGGCTGCTCCTCAGGCAGTAGCTCGGAGTGCTGCATCTCCTGGGCTGCCAGTCTCCGCTTCTCTGGTGACATGGCCAGCAAGCTCTAGAGGGGGCACAGGCCTGTGGGTGCTCAGGGGCCATTGACCTTGGGCCCTTTGCATGGACTCTCCTGCCTGGCTCCCTCAGTGGTGATGTAAGCATCAGACCACAGGGCTGGTGAGATCTCAGCCTAATCCCTTTGTTGATCTACGGAGTCACCCAGGCCCAGTGATTCAATCTCTCCCTTTCCATTTCCTTAGCGGGAGAGGCAGGCCCTGTAGCTTCTCTTCCCTAGGGAAGGGTGTCTTCCTGGGGGCCCCCTTCACCCTGCCTGCCCCGTCCCCACAAACTGCAGGCCTGAGCACAAGCATTATTCCCTTAGCGAGGCCTCCCCAAACAGCGAGAGGTCCTGCTTGATCTTTGATTTCCACAACAACTAGTGCTACTTCTCGGTGATACTGAACACACTCATCAATCTATCATTATCTGCCCAATGTCTGCACCCTCTTAGGGGTGCAAGCGCTGTTGAGGTGAACCCTGAGTTTCAGGCCCAGGGCGTATGGTGGGCCTTCAAGGTGTGTGTTTTGGAAGGCTTTCTTGCTCTTTGCTCTCAAGAGGCTTTTTTCTAGGGGCTGACATAGGGTGGTACTCAGAGCTGGTGGAGACTTGAGCACCCTGGGTCTCAAGTTCACAGAGGCAAAGCTTGGGGAAGGGTGGATTTATTCCCAACACATGCCCATGAGGGGTGAGGGAGCACCCACTTATTGAGCACCTACTAGCTGTGGAGCACCGAGCGTGGCTCTGCACAAAAATGCGTTTCATGATCGTGTTGGGGAGATCTGGGGTTGGAAGCACGACCCCTTGATCCCTCTTTGGAGAGGGAGCAGGCTGCTGAGTGAGGTCCAGGCTAGGCATCCCTGGGCTGTGCATGCACTATCCAGATGGACAGAAGCCAGCACAGGACATACCAGCAGCTGGGCGGAGGGTTTGACAACTGTGGGGATGGAATAGAGGCAGGCTGTGGGCACCATCCCGGTCTTTCCTGTTCTGTCATTCTGACCCATGGTCCAGTTCTCCGATGCCAGCAGCTCCTGATTCTTCGTGAGGATGATCAGATCCCCTTTCTTAAAGGGCAGGAGGGTGACGTCATCTGCAGGTCCAGGTCACACATGTGGGAATGAAAATGCCACATGTACGGAGGGTTCTGTAAGGGCCTAAGATCCTTTAGAGATTGTCTGCTTTAGCAGATGAGGAAATGGAGACACCGCCTGGTTAGCTAGTCCACTCTGAGTGGGTGATAAAGGGATTGGACCCTAGGAGAAGAGTATATCTTGAGAATAACAGGTCTGATGAGGTGACAGGGTGACATCTTCTGGGGAAATGTTCCCCTGCTGTAGGAGCCTGCATAGCCACTCTGTGCCCTCTGATGCCCTGCCCTGCCTGCTCTCTGCATCCACCACCACGATGTCCACTAGTGGGCCTGGTGGCAGAGTTACCAGGCCCAGCCACCCCTTTCTCTTTAGCAGCAGTCTATAGCTCTCAGCTTTTGCAGAAGCACTGTTTTCAGAGACAGTAAGAATGAGGTTGCATCCCCCTAAGCTGTGTGACCCGAGGCAACCACTTCCCTCTCTGAGCTTTTGGTTTTTTTCCCTGTAACATTGGAAAATGGGATGATTGTGGAAGTGGTGATCATCCCTCCCTCCCAAGTTGAGGGAGGAGCCTTGCCCATTCCAGTGAGAGTAAGGAGGCCTTGAAGGGTTGAAGCCACCACCACCACTGACAGAAGGCTGGGCACTGCTCAAAGTGGAGCCCACATTGTTGGAACCTTCCCTCCTTCCCTTTGAGCTTTGCTTGGTGTCACACGCCATGGGCAGCCTCGCTCTGCTCTTTCTCCCTTCCGCTCGGTACCTGTGGCCTTCCTGTCCTGCAGGGCCATGGCAAACACGGACCTCTCCTTCAGTCCCCCCAGGAACAGGGCCACCATCTCAGCGATGGCCACACTGCTGGGGGACACAAATTCATACTCTTCATGCAGCGTGGACAGCAGTAATCTCTGTCCACCCACGGCCTCCCTGAGGGCACAGAAGGTACGGTGTGACAAGAGGCCTCCCCTGCCCTCCCCAGTCCCCCAACACTCTCAGGAGACTCTCGGGAACTATGGGCAAGCAAAGATAACAGCTCCTCCAGTGCTGCTGGCAGCATGGAGCCTGGGCCCAGGCTGGACAAATGCCAAGTCTCAGGTACTTTTGCAAGTGTTGGACAAAGTGACTGCAAAGCCTCAGGTCTTTGGGGCAGTGGGTAGTGCTAGGCTCCAGTGAGTCTGCTTTGGTCAGGGAACAAGAGGAATGATGGGCAGAGATACCACAGAACATCAGCGCTAGGAAGAGCCAGTGGTTCTGCTGTGTGGGCTTATGCTGGAGTTCTGTGTGCCTCAGTTCACTCATCTGCAGATTGGGTGACTGAGGATGTCATATGATAAAGTGTGCTTGTGCAGCCTCAGTGTGTGGGGAGGGTCAGGAGTGAGGGGAAGTGTGTGCCCAAAGTAGTCCACTGGTCCCAATTACAATAGCCATGTGCACTGAGGTGTACTTTAACCTCAGAGTGCTCTGGCAGATGGGTGGGGCTTCTCAGAGGGCTCAGGAGAGGGACTGGTAAATGAGAGCCACTGGGGTGGATACCACCCTAGGCTCTGGCCTCCTCTCTTCTCCTAAATTGGATGCATCCTCTGCATGGCTAGTTCTCGTCCATCAGTCGGAAAGGAGCTGGACAGATTGCATGTGGCCACGTCCTTTGTAGGTGAGACTTGGTTTCAGAGTGGGTGACAACACAGTGCTGGGAGGCTCTATGTCCAGCGGCAGCTGGTGTCTTAGCTCCAGCCTGACTCTCAGGGACAACACAACTTCCCCTCTTTCTGTCTCTCCCTGTGCCCAGATATCAAAACCAAGGACTCCAGCAGTGAGAAGAGAGAGATTTGAAGTCTCTTCCCTACCTATTAGTAACCAGACCCATGACCTCTGGGAAGGACAGCTCCATCAGTGTCTTCTCCCGCTGGTCCAGGAAGTACAGCCCCTTCCAGTTAACAGCCAAGATCATCTGTGTCTTGGGGAGTCGGGGGCCTGGCCAGAGGAGATCACAGAGTTCAGGCTGTGCTGGTCCCTGGATGCTTGTCCTGCCCCAGCCCCACCTCATCTGATGCCGTTACCAGAAACTGGAGTGACTTGGAAGAGCCGGGAGAAAAGCAGAGGCCACTGCAGGAGTGCTGCATCTACCACCTGTGCCCTGACAGCCTGTGGCATGAGTCGCTTCTGGGTGTGTGGTGCCTGTGGAGACCAGACATTACCTCTATCATGGTGTCTCCTGTAGCCAATACCTCATCCAGAGCCCCAGGTGATATGGATCACTCTGTTGTTACCTAACATGTGCCAGTGTCCCAGGGACACTGGGGATGAGTGGGAACAGGCCCAGTCCTATGGAATCCTGGGGAGACCTGGTTAGAAGGTGACTTGAGAAGGGAAGAAAAGCCTTTGCCTCATTAGCACGAGGATGCAGAAGCTGAGGATCAGTTTCCTTGGCTATCTGAGCCTGGAAGGCTCTGTGTGTCTCTTTGTGTCTGTCTGTCTTAGCTTGAGCTGTGACGGTTTGGGGCTTTAGTGTCCCTCAAAGGCCATGTGTTGAGGTTTGATCTGTAGCCTTGGATGTTGTTGGGAAATGGTGTGAGTCAGGTTCTATTGTAAGGAAGTCAGGTCACTGGGATGCGCCCTAGAAGTGGACATCGGCTCTTCTTCTCTCTACTTTCTGGCTGCCATGAGGAGAACAGCTCTGGACTACCACATGATGCTCTGTCTTACCACACATTCCAGTAATGAGCCAAGTGAATATAGACTGAAACCCTGAGCAAAATCAACTTCTCTTCCTTTCCATGATCTCAGAAACTTTGTCACAGAAAAGGAAACCTGAATAGCACAGGTTTGCTCTTGTCAATATGAGGCCTGTGTCATGCTGTGTGTGAGGGTATCTTTCCATGTGCCTCTGGGTCCTGGATACCTGTCTTTTCCCCCCTGGAGTACTGTATATTTGGCAGTTCCTTTCTTATCTTTCCTCTCTTTCCTGTCTCTTCTACACTGTGCAATTGGCAATCATGTCCCACCAAGCTTTTTCCCCCTCTGTTTGTTGTTTCTTGGTTGTCTGTTTCTCTTGCTCTTACTTTAAGAAATGGCTAGATGGAGGGCTGGGGGTGTGGCTCAAGTAGTAGACTACCTGCCTCACAAGTGGGAGGTGCCAGGTTCATACCCCAGTACCATCAAAAGAGATTGGCTGAGCCGGGCGCGGTGGTGGGCTCACGCCTGTAATCCTAGCTACTCAGGAGGCTGAGATCTGAGGATCATGGTTCAAAGCCAGCCTGGGAAGGAAAGTCCATGAGACTATTATCTCCAATAAACCACTGGAAAACCGAAAGTGGCGCTGTGGCTCAAGCAGTAGAGTGCTCACTTTGAGCTGAAGAGCTGAGGATAGCGCCCAAGCCCAGAGTTCAAGCCCCAAGATCGACCAAAAAAAAAGATTGGCTGGATGATGTTATTCACTGGCTTTGATAATACAAATGGGTGCATTATATCAGAAAAGTGACTTGTTTGCGACCAAGAGACCAGCTTGAGAGGAGGAGCCAGGTGGTAGGGGACCCATGATAAGTTAATCTGAACATGCTGTTTACATCCTGATTCAGGACTGTGCCTGTCAGCTTTAAGCTCCCTGCCTCCAGTGAGTGATCTTATAGGGAGGCCCTTGAGGGAGGGAATCCATTTCTCTGCACAGCCAGTGTCCTACCACCCCGAGGAAGAGCTCACATGGCCATGGTACTGAAGGCTGACCTTAGTGTAGGCTGCAGTGATGAGGCTAGCCCACATCTCTGGGGTCTTGGTCTTGTACAGCTTCCGGGGTAGGCAGCTGGGCAGCAGCTCCTGGATATGATTGATCCCTGCAGAGGCACCGAGCTGCACATAACAGTGCCGGGCCATCAACTCCACCAGCGGCTCCTCCTGCACATGGGGGGGAGGGGAGAGGCAGAGTGGGGAGGGAGAGCTGACTCTCCCATAAAGCCTCCTCCCTGTGGCCCGTTCCTGCCTCAGGGCAGGGCTGGCTAGCAGCTGGAGCAGGGTTAGGGAGAGGGGGGCAGGAGCAATCTTCTTGGCTGGCATATCCATCATGGCAGAGATCTCAGCTACCCACTCTCTCCAAGAAGCCAGTCTCAGAGAACCCCCCAGCTCATACCGCTTCCTGTCTGGGCCCAGGTAGGCCTCCAGGGTTGCTGCAGTTGCTAGGTCTTCAGAGCAGCACCCTCCTCACTCACAGGAAGAGTTGCACCTGCTTCCAGAACTCCAGTTGCATTCCCCCCCCCCCCCCCAGCCCAAGTTCTCACAACTACTCCATGAAAAGAGCTCCTGGCACCCCGCACATTCCAGATGTGGGGGCAGGGCTCTAGGCCACACTGCTAGGGATAGTTGCCAACACAAAACTTGAACTCAGGCACAGAGCTCCAAGGCCATGTTCCTGACTTCCACCCTATGCTAATCCATAAGCAGCCCCTGGGGGAGGCCAGGCAGGCCTGGGGCTGGCAGGAAGGCCTCTCTACCTGCCATGGGGGCACTTAATGCTCCAGATGCCCATTACAGTCATAGCCCAGAGGAGGAGGAAATGGAGGCTGGGTTTGGGTGGGACAGTTGTGCCCAGAGAAAGCTGCAGGATGTGTACCCCAGTGACCACCTTCCCATTACTCTGTCTGCCTTCTGCTTGCCACTTGTCTGCATTGGCCATGCCAGCTGGGTCCCTTCTCTTGGGGTGTCCCCATGATCAAAGCCCAGGCCGGCCCTGCGATGTGAACCTTTCTCAGACCTCACCTTCTCGAAGCTGTACTCCCCTGACCACACTCCTTGCAGGACTTGGCGATAAATGAGCTCAGTGCTCACAGGATCCTCCTGGGAGTCATGCCAGGGTGTGAAGAACTCCTTCCGGAAGTAGATACGCCAGGGAGACTGGCGCTGACTCTCGCCCCGCTCCTGGGCCAGCTGCTCACACTGGGCCACAGCATCCATCAGGTGGTCTCGGCCACTGCCCAGGGACCAGAACTGAGAGCAGATTTGCGGACAAGATAAAGACAACGCAGATCCCCAGGTTACCTAGCACCAGCAAGTGAAGGGTAGGGCCTGGGACCCTTGTGATCCAGTGGGGGCAGAGTGGACGCTGATGAGTCTACTTGGATGATGGAAAGGCTTCTCTACAGGAGTGTGAACTCCCCGCACTCCCACCGTCCCTCCCCCCAGCTCCTTCCCGAGAAGACTGAGATGGACACTGATGGTGGGAGTTGGGCTGTGTATCTGGGCTGCCGATGGTATGAATATGGTGAGTCTGGAGGTGAGGGCCCTTGGGGGTGGAGATGGGGCTCTGGTGATCTGTGACAGTGCAGTCCTCCATGTGGAATGTCGTGGTGTGAGAGAAATTGGAGCAGGATGCTGATGTAAGTGTGGGAGCTGGAGGGAAAGGCAGAGAGTGACAATGGGTGTCTGCAGCCTGCATGGGGCCAAGGCATATATGCTGGGCTGGATGTGTGAGTGTATATTCCTCTGTGTGTGTGTGTGTGTGTGTGTGTGTGTTCATGTGTGCATGTGCTAATGTGTACCTGCCCTTGTACAGTGTGCCTGGCAGCTGGGAGGGCAGATGGTGGCCAGGCTGCTGGGCATGCGGGTTCCAGCTTCAGGATGCTCTGGCCCAGATGTGTGAGGGAGGTTTGGGATGGATAGGATGGATGTCACTACCTTGTCGTACACAGCAACCTGCAGGGAGAAGCCCAGGTGGTCTTTGAGTCCCTGCTTTTGGGCGATGTGCAGGCAGATCTCCCGAGATGTGGAAGCAGAGTCAACCATGATGGTCAGACTCTCTCCAGCCGCCAAGATGACTTGAATCGGGATGTGCTTCTTGGACTTAACAGCCTAGGGATGGAGGAGGACTCAGAACAGAACCCTGGGACTCAGGCACCCTGGAGCCCAGAGCCCTTGGACCAGAAGCTGGCACAACACCCTATCTGACTTCCCTCCCAGCCTAAGATCCACCACCTCCTTGTCCTGAGGGCAAGGCAGGATTTTCAAAAGCCCTAGGATGGCTTAGTACTGGCCTAGAGACTGCCAGGAATGAGAGAAGCTTGCCCATGTACACTTGGTGATGTATGGGCTCCTCCAAGTTCATGTCAGCATCCCATGGCGTGCAACCTGCAGGTTGCAGTGGTTCCATACTGAGATCTGAACTCTGAGCTTGTTGACCTTTAATGAGTCAGATGGTCTTAGCAGTTTTGGGTCCTGGGGTCCTAGTGTGATACTATAGATATTTGCTATCCCTTTTTTTTTGGCGGGGGGGTGTCAGTCCTGGGGCCTCAACCCAGGGCCTCGGTTCTATTTTTGAGCTTTTTTTACTCAAGGCTAGTACTCTACTACTTGAATCACTTCTGTTTTTTGGGGGAGGGGGAATAGTTAATTGGAGATAAGCGTCTTAAAGACTTTCCTATCCAGGCTAGCTTCCAAATGTGATCCTTGGATCTCAGCCTCCTGAGTAGCTAGGATTATAGGCATGAGCCACTGATGCTTGGCACACTGTAAATACTTAGTTGGCTTAAGGTCACCTACAGTTTCAGTGCTCCCGAGAGGCAGACCTCATGGACTTGGGCAGCAGAGAAAGAACAGGAATGAAGTGTGGCCAAATGTGATTCACAGCCCCCAATATAGGTGGCCACAGGGTCACAGAGCCCTTTCTGGGCTTGGGCTGGGGCCAGAGATGGCGGTAGAATAAATATAGGGGGTACCTTCTATTTAGACTACCCTTGGACACTGAGAATGTATAGGGGGCACCTGCTTCCAAGAGCAGTGCCTATATCATACTAGGAGCATGACCACTGCTTTGTTCATAGCATGTGCACGCACACACGTGTGTGTGTGTGTGTGTGTGTGTGTGTGTGTGTTTGGTGTTGAAGTTTGAACTCATGGCCTCACACTTTCTAGGTAGGCACTCTACCCTTATACTATGCTTTTTGCTCTGGTTATTTGTGAGGTAGAGTCTGGGCCACTCTGGATACCTCCTGTTTACCTGGAGCTGGGATGACAGGCATGATACTATAGCAAGATTTTATCCATTAGACAGGGTCTACACTTTTTATCCAGGCTAGTCTCAAACAGCAATTCTCCCGCATCTCTGCTCCCTGAGCAGCTAGAATTCCAGGTGTAAGCTCCAGTGTCTGGCCGCCACTGCCTTCTTAAAAAGTACAAACTTGAAGCAGTTAGTTCATCTACACTGAGGCCAGGCATAAATGAAGATGCATTGGGGGTGGGGGAGGATAGCTCTGAAGCCTGAGCACCCTGACCCAGGGGACCTCACAGGGACCACTGGCAAAAGGTGCTATAGAGGAGGTACCCCGCAGATGTGCTTCAGGAGACACAGGGTCTGACCATCCCATGACCTCCCTACCCCCCCCACCAGCACTTACCTGTAGCTCTAGCCAAGTGGGGGGCTCTGCGCGTACCCCGTTAGCACAGGTGCGCCGTAGGCGTTCAGCACAGAAAGGCCCATAGCTAGCCGGCCCGTGATCAATAAAGTTCAGCAGATACTGAGGGGCACAAGAGGAAGGGGACACTCAGAATGGAGGCCAATTTCTATTTTCTACCTTAGCTGATTTTAAAAATGGCTGTCCTCTGTCCTCTATTTGTCCTGAGAAGGAATATAAATTGGTATCTATCTGAGGAATAATTTGAAATACATTCTAAGTATATAGTTTAAAATATGCATGCTGTTTGACTAATTCAAACCATTTTACTGAACACCAGGGCTCATGCCTGTAATCTTAGTTACTCAAAGGGCTGAGACATAAGGATCATGGTTTGAAACCAGCCTGGGAAGAAAAATCTGTGAGATTCATCCCAATTAGCCAGCAAAAAGTGAGAAATGGAGCTGTGGCTAAAGTGGTAGAATATCAGCCTTGAATAGAAAAGCTAAGAGACAGTGGCTAGGCTCTAAGTCAAGCCCCAGTACACACTACACACACTACACACACACACACACACACACACACACACCATACATACACACACATACACCTATCTTAATGCAAACAGGTTTTTTTTTGATGATATTAGTTGGTATCTATGGAAATGAGTGGTTGACAGATGTATCATAAATGCCTATCAGTAGGTTCAATTCCTTATGGAATAGCTAGTCACTGAAACTAGCATCTGGGAAGTTTATATCAGAGTGGAGACAAGGAAGGGAAAAATGCAGTGTCCAAAACAGATCTTGGACAATTAATGTAGGAAGTGTTTTTGATTCAGAGACGGGAGTACACATCCTGGGAAGGTTTATTGGTGTTTGGAAGTGGCTCAAATGCCCAGGACAGAAGGACACTGTGACCTTGTTTCTGTTTTCCTGAGTTTTCTCTATGACTGCAAGTATGTCACCAGAACACCACAAGAGAGAGGAAGAAATATTAATATGGGTTACTTCTGTGTGTGGAGATAGCTTACTTTTTATACCTTCAGCATTTTCATATTACGTGTGTGTGTGTGTGTGTGTGTGTGTGTGTGTGTGTGTGTGTGTGTATGTGTACCAATACTAGGGTTGAATTCAGGGCTAGGGAACTCTCCCTTAGCTTTTTTGCTAAAGGCTGATGCTCTACCATTTGAATACAACTCCACTGCAGGCCTTTTGGTAGTTGATTGGAGATAAGAGTCTGATGGGCTTTCTTGATCAGGCTAGTGTCAAGCCATAATCCTTAAATCTCAACCTGCACCTAGCTCACATTATTTTTATCATCAAAAGCAAAGGTTTATTAAAGAAGCAAAGCCTTGGACACCAACCCTTGGATGCTTCTACTAGTCCACTTCCATTTTCTGCTCTAAAGGGGCAGAAAAAGTGTGGCCAGACACCAGTAGGGTATCTGGGCCCACTTCATCTGCCATCTGAGTATTAGTCCTGAAGAGCTATCTTTGGGACTGAGATTCAGGTAAGTGACCATGTGGACCCTGGATGGACTCAGCACCTCTTTTTTTTTATTATTGTGAAAATACTGTACAGAGGGGTTACAATTACATGGGCAAGATAGTGAGTACATTTCTTATCAAGCATTGTAGCCTCCTCCTTTGTTTACCCTTCCCATCCCTTCCCAGCCTCCCCCCCCGCCCCCTACCTAATCCTCCCCCCCCCAAAGTTGTAAAGTTCGTTTTCGACATGACAACTTGTACTTCTCATTGTTGCAACGGGTCCACCTGTATCCTTATTTAAACGACTTGTTTTTCCCCTTCCCCTCCACAAATTATACCAATATCAAATACAGTGAAAGCAGGGGTTATACTGTGGGGGAAGGACATACAAAACAACAAAGAAATAATCTTATAAATGCTTTAGAAACAAATGCATGAAAGAAAAAAAAACATTTAAATACATATCTTAGGGTTCATTTCCCTAACATCACCTTATCTGACCTTTTCTGCTTGACTCAGACATATACTAGATATTGCAAATAAGGGAAACCATGGGACCTATGTTTCTTTGGGCCTGGCTTACTTCACTTAATATAATTTTTTCCAAGTCTTTCCATTTCCTAACAAATGGGGCAATGTCATTCTTTCTGATGGAGGCATAGAATTCCATTGTGTATATATACCACATTTTCTTGATCCATTCAACTACTGAGGGGCATCTGGGTTGGTTCCATATCTTAGCTATGGTAAATAATGCTGCAATAAACATAGTTGTCAGCACCTCTTTCACAGATGGGGAATGAGGGCCAGAGTGGTACAAGCTTTGCTGGCTATCAGCCCACAGATGCAGGAAGAGCAAAGCATGGGCTGCTCCAGGATCCCCTGTCCCATTTCTGCTGAAACAAACCCTCTGCTTCCCCCTTCCCTGCCCCCTTTTTGGCCTTCTTACCTTCATGAACCTCTCAGAAGGTGGGAAGCAGCCCAGGCAGAGGCTTAGCAGGATCCAGCCCCGGGCCAGGCTGCTCATTTTGAAGTTCTCTGAAAGCTGCTTGCAGATCTGGCAGTAGATCTCATCCCTGAAAAATACACGCTGCTGAGCCAGAAAGCTGGGAGCTGGCTCTGGGGGAGGCAAGAGATGGGGCATCTGGGGGAGGAGAGAGATGGGGCATCTGGGCACTCTTTCTGTATCCCTGGTGAGCTCTCTTCTGCAGGGGACTCACCCAGTACTCAGCCCCTTCACCCCAACCCCCAGCCTCCTCATGGACCAAACTCTGCCCACCTAATGTCTTCCCAGTGCTTCATTCTATGGCCCATACCTTCCTGCCCCAACTTCCTACCACACTCATGTCCTGCCCTCAGTCCTCCCTCCTCAAACCAGTGCGCCCTCCTTCACCCCTCTGTCCACAGCACCCTTGTCCCTGTGCAGCTGCCCTGGCCTTTTCTCTCTGTTTCTAGCATACTCCACCCTGCTACTTTCTCCAAGCCAGTTATGTCAAATGGGATTCTCTCTATCTTGAGACCCATTCTCTGAGAGTATCAGCTCATCAGTACAGAAATAAGTGAGGGCTTCCTGGGAGAATCCCTAAATCCCAACTCTTTATATAGGTGTGAGCTCCTGGTGCCCACCCCTTGGTCTTCTTTTTGAGAATGCTAGCCTATGTCCTTTCCCATGGAATCAAGCCTCTACTGCCTTACAAAAGGGTCCCTTCACTCTTCAAGCCCCACTTCAAGCGTCTTCTCTATAACACGCAGCAGTGTGCTGGTAAACGTTTATCAATCTACTTTCTCAGGGGAATGAAAGCTCACATGGATTGCATTTGCCACCATCTGTGGTGTAAATGTTCTCAGCCACGCCCATTTCAAGCCCCCCATAGGACGTTTGAACAGAGTTGGGAAGGCATGTGTGCCTCTGACTCAGGAGAATTGCTGGAAGCCAGTTCCAGCACATCTCCTTGCCTGCATTCACTTAAAATGGAAGCCTGGAAGTCATCCTAGACATTGCTTATCCCTGTATTCTTCAAGTCCAGTGGATCACTATCTACCCTCTGTCTCCTGGACATTTCTCCCTGCTCATCTCTTCACTTCTATTCCTTGAGCCATTCTTCATTAGCTTTCTGGATCTCTTTTGCTGACCTCCGGGCCTCTCATCTCAGACTCTGCTCTATGTCACTGCTAGAGAGAGGAGCTATCTGCAAGTCACTTACATGCACTCATGACTTTCTCTTGCTTAAACCTTTACTTCCCTGGTCTTGGGGTTGAATCCAGATTACATAGCCCAGTGGTGACAAAGCATTTGGAATCCTAGACTCTTTGGGTTGTTTCCAGGCATAGTGCTCTGTTCATCCCTCCTTCTGTCTGGTGAGTTCTTCTTCTCCTTTACATTGCTTGTAATATGACTTCTTCTTGGTACCCACTGGGTCTGAGCAGACCCCTATCTGATAATATACTCTAGTGGTGGTTTTCCTGAGCCTCATATACTTCCTGCATCATTTGGATAAAGGTTCGTGTGTTAAAGGCTTGGTCACCAGCCAATGACACCATTTTTAGGTGACATAGCCTTTAGAAGGTGGGGCCCAGGAGGAAGTTAGGTATTGGTGACACATTCTTGAAAGGATACTGGCATCCTGGCTCTTTTCTGTCTTGCTTTGCTTCCTAATGGTCATTTGTGGCTTGCTCTCGCTACAAGGCTCTCCTTTGCTACAGACATAAGGCCAAATGACCACGGGCTAAGATTATGACAGAGCAAACAAGTAAGCCTTTCCTCCTAATCAAATGACCATTTTGGTATCTTTTCACATTAGTGGAAAGCTGACTAATATATTTCTCAACTAAAAGGTGAAATTCCCCTTTCCTTTCCTTTCCCTTACCTTCTTTTTTTCCCCTTCTCTTCCCTTCCTTCTTTCTTTGTGTCTTGTTACATGAATTTTAACTCAGGGCTTCATGCTGTTACCTGGACTTTTTGTTTAAGGCTGACACTCTACAACTTGAGCTATGCCTCTACTTCTGGCATTTGGGGAGTGGTGACAGTCTTTCCTGCCCAGGCTAGCTTCAAATTGGAGATGAGAATCTCCTGGATTTGTCTGCCTGGGCTCACATTGAACCCTCATCCTCAGATCCCAGCATCCTGAGTAGCTAGGATTACAGATATGAGTCCTTAAAGCCTGGCCTGGGGGGCAAGTTTCTTGAAGACAGAAATGTTTTCTCCATTTTAGCATCCCTAGGCCCTTACCCAGGGCTGCACTGTAAGCAGGTACTTAATATGTGTACATTAGAGATGGATGGAGAATTATCTTTGTCTCAGAATTTGTTTAAGGCTCCAGAGCCAAGCACAAATGGATGCTAACATTCATCTTGCTAAAGAAACCTGTTTTTACAATATTTATTAAAAGATGGCAGAGCCAGTCCAGCTATCACGCCACCTCTATACAATGGAAGATGAGAAATTTGGAAAATGACTCCCGGAAGGGACTTTAATGGAAGAGAGGTCTGTAGCTCACTTAACTACTTACAAATAATAAGGGTGGAAGAATGGCCCCAGGAGAACAACCAGAAGGGTTGGGTGGGAGACTGACTGACTAGAGATGAGACCTTCCTGACCTCCTTCCCTCCTCATTGAAGGCATGCAAGACCCCCAGAATGCCACTGTCCTTTCCAGGCTACTGAAATGGAGCATGGTGACAGAACTGTCACATTTTGGACTAACTTCCCCTGGAGTTGATGGCTTCTGTGAACAAAGAAACTAGAGATTACTTTCTTCTGGACAACTCAGAGATCACCCAGAAGGGCAAGGCTGATATGTGTGGTGAGGCATTTGTCATCTTCCCGTTAGCATGAGGATGGCATGAAAAGAGGTGGGCTGCAGGCATCTCGATGGAGCCCCACAAGTGGGTAGCCCATGATTCCAGATGGCCTTCGTGATAAGAGGCCGTGGGATGTTCCCACAGGGGGTGGTGTCATCAGAACTCTCAAGGGACCTGAGAGTGGTGTCAGCCAGATGCCTGCTCTATATGGGATTGCTTGTAGGAGATATCTGAGGATTCAAACCATTTGGACATAACTTTTGTGTCTGTTTGTCTGTTGTATCAGAGGGTGTGATGGTTGGGGAAAACTGCCATGGGAGAAATGACAATATGACATTAAGAAGACTGGCCCAGTTGGTGTCATACAGGAAGCAAGCTTGGGTAGAGGCCCTCTAGTCTTACTGGCTTAAAGAACAGAGGACAGAGTTTGTGGTCTCCACAGCAGCTTGAATGTATAAAGCAAAATCCTGAAATGAAGAGAACCAGAGAACAGTCCTAAAATCTTCATGTAATCTTAGCTAGAAGGCTAGCTAAGGCCAAAAGGACAGGGATTCCAACTGCTGTTCATGATAAGGGAGATAATTTGAATTAAACAAAATTAATTGTTTACCATAACAAAACACCAACAGCCTTTGAAAAAATGCAATAGTATCCAGGGTCTCTAAATGTTTTACTCCCAATGTTTAGGATCCAATCCCAAAGTACCAGACTTTGGAGAATTAGGAAACCATGATCACATTACAGAGAAATCACAGTCACTGGAGACAATGATTCAGACATTACATTTGCAGAAAAAGACTTAAAAAACTACTATAACTGGGCCAGATGTACTGGCTTATTACTGTAATCCCAGCTACTCTGTAGGTGAAAATGGGACCCATCTCAACAAACAAGCTCCCATATAGCAGTAGATAGGAGGACTGTGAGCTGAGGCTGGTCCTAGGAAAAAACCTCAAGACTTTAGCTGAAAATAACTAAAAAAAAGGGCTGTGTTTCTTTTTCTTGTCTTTCTCTCTATATTCTCTCTCTCTTTCTCTCTCTCACACATACACACACACATACATACAATACTACTATAACTATCTTCAAGGATATAAGTGAAACTATACTCACAGCAAATGAATGAACAGGACATGTTGACAAATAAAAATATAAAAAATTAAAAATCTCAATAATTTAATGTAACTTTGATTATATCATTATATATTATATATATATTTTTGGGTCTGGTCGTGGGGCCTGAACTCTGGGCCTGGGCACTGTCCCTCAGCTCTTCAGCTCAAGGCTAGCACTCTACCTCTTGAGCCACAGTGCCACTTCCGGCTTTTTTTTTCTTTTTGCTTATGTGGTGCTGGGGAATCAAACCCAGGGCCTCATGCATGCAAGGCAAGCACTCTACCACTGAGCCACCTTCCCAGCCCTGTATATTATATTATTATATAACATATAAAATAAAGGAAGTTATTGAATGAGTATATTGAGTAAGTAGGTTAGGGAAAGCAGAGATAGCTTCAGTGTATTTAAAGATAGAATATCTGAAACTATTCAATTTAAACACCGACAGAAAAATTAACAGACCCTCAGGGACCTGAGGGACAAAGGCAATGAGTTTTACATAGGGATAATCAGGGTTATATAGGGCGTGTGTGTGTATGTGTGTGTGTGTGTGTGTGTGAAGATAGGCACAGAGATAAATAGATGATAGGTAACATGATAGGTAAATCTTAGATATTAGATGGATTCATAGGTGGACAGATTGGAGAATATTTGAAACAAAGAAATGGAAATTGTCTATAAAATTTACAGGAAAACCTAATTCCTGCAGAGCAAATTGCATATATACGTAGTATAGCGAAGGAGCTTGCTCATTCACAAGCCCTGCTCTAACACCTATCCTATCAAAGAATGAATCTCAGCCTCAAATGAATCTGTTTCCTCAAACTCCTGGGTTTTCTTAATGCAGAGCAAGTAGAGAGCCCTCTATGTGCAGTACTGAGACATAACCTGCAGGGCTTAGGCCAGGGAGCAAGCAGAGGAGAATGGAGGGGGGTGGGGGAGGAGACAAACAGGTGGAAGTGACCGGGGCCATGGGCTAAGGGCCAGTGAGGAGACTTGATGTTCTGATGAGGGAAGAGTGGACTGGAGACTAACCTGAGACCAGGCCGCAGGATGGCATAGCCCACAATGAAGTGCACCTTCTCCAAGTTGGACATGGGTCTGTCTGAGACGGGACCATCAGGATCAAATGCTTCCTCTCCAATGTTCAGCTGGCTGGCCACCTAGAAGCCCAAAGATGGCCATCAGGACAGCTGTGACTCTCTCAATTTTGCCAAAAATGAAACTCTGACATGGGGATGGATTTCCTGGAACCCCACAATAGGCTGGCACAGACCTGGGAGCAGATTGGCGCAGACTCGAGTCACCCGGCCCTGAGCTCACCTGACCTGTGATCCTAGAGGAACGCTTTAGCTTCATGGAGGAGATCCCCTTGGTTCCTCTTTCCTTGCGACTCAGTCTCTGTGGAAGGAGACATTCACCAGAAGGAAGGAAAGCGTAAGTAGTCCTTCCATGTTGGCCCTAAAGCCACTTGCAATGGAGTAAATGTCCCTGTCATTCATCCATTTCCTGGCCCAATTTACAATGCCTGGAAGAAAGGGCTTAACCCAAGCCCTTTGGATCTGTTGGTTTCCTCAGACAAGGAGATTGTTCTTTGTCATGATGAAAATTTGCTGCCAAAACTAGAGCTCAGTACTGGTTTGGGTTGGGATCAGTGCAGGACTGGGATCAGTGCAGGTTGGGATCAGTGCAGGACTAGGGCTAGGACTGGCACCAGCTCTGGTTATGGTGAAACTTGTTTTGAACACAGGTTCTTAATGTGAAACACTGGCTAGCAAGCTCTGGTAGGGTGGGCAAGGCTTGTACAGCTCAGTTCTAAGTGAGGCATAGGGAGATATTTAACAACCACATGTAGGAAAGAAAACATGAGCTAGACTTCCAGGAGGCAGCATGGCCAGACTGCTTTCTAGAGTCCCTTCCCTGGGGGCATTGCTAGTGTTCAAGGTGACTTCGAGCAATCCTTCCAGCCTCCTCACATTCTTGCTCACTCATCTGGGGGAAGTCATGTTGTGAGGATTCTCAAGTAGCTCTGTGCCAGTGCTTGTAGGGCAAGGAACCAAGGCCTCCTGCCAGTGCCATGTGAGTGAGCCAACTCAGGAGTAGACCCGAGGCAACAGCTTGGTGGCAACCTCCAGAGATCCTGGACAGAGCTAGCAAGCCATTCCTGACCTTCAGAAATAACAAATATGTGCTGTTTTAAGCTGCAGTGTTTGGAAGTAACTTGTTACACAGCAATAGGTACTTAATAGGTTTGGGGGAGCTTCTGCTTCCAGAAATCAAGGACTTATGGTCTCAGCCTGGGGCTGGGCTGGGGATGTAACTGGGGCTATGGACTCCCTTAGATTTCTTTGCAGTTAGCCTGCATACAGGACCTCAGAAGTTGCACCTCAGTCAGTTACCTAGAACATGAGACACTCCTGTACCCGGTTGCTAGTGGGCCTAGGTGCTGTCACTTTGTGTACATCCTTTCGACTGCTCTTGGTTAGTTCCACTAAGATTACAGCATGAAACTGACCAAAAATGAATGTGAATTAACCTTCCATGAGAGTACTTTGTAGAACACAGTTAACGACTTGGTCTTTGTGAATGGGTTTAAAGCCAACTACCACATATGTGTTCACTGTGATTTGGGTGGTGAGTCACTTCATTTCTGTTTCATTAGCTTTGGATAATCCCTACTTTGTAGAATTGGCTCCGCTTGGAATTAGATGAAGAGAAGCAATTGGCTGGTAATGTCACAATAATTGGATCTTTGGTTGTTACTATTATTACATGTATTTGAATTTAGTTCAAGTCAATATTTAGAGTTTACAGGACTTTCTCCACTAGTGACTGAGTAATTCAAATACCCCAGGGCATGAGTCTTGATTCATGAACTTCCCAGTGCAATCCAAGACTGAAAACACCCAGGCCCAGGTTTAGGGACTGGACTTGGTGATGATACTGCAGATGCAGCTCCATAGTTAGCTTCCTGGGCCTGAGCCATGGTACACACCAAGCCACCATCCTCAGCACCCACCTGTGCAGTTCCACCATGCTGTGGACCCCCAAAAATGCTGTCTTTGCCCAATCTGTCATGGATCTGCCGCATCACTGAGTCGTCACTCACACTGTTTCTGGCATATAAGAGTGGCTCTGGAAGGTCACCCATGAACCTCAAGATGATGTTCCACACGGCCAGTGCAGCCTGGGGGATGATCAGAGGGCCTGGTTAGAACCCGAATCCCAGCACTGGAGTCCACACCAGGAGCCAGGCCTCTTTCCTGCTCTCTCTGCGCTGTAGCACAGCCTCTGGATCTGGGTGGATCCAGGAAGGACTTGATGGGAGCAGAACCAGAGAACAACTCCATACCGAGTAGTCTGTGTCATTTTCATGGTAGAGCAGCGGGTAGCGGAGAGAACGCAGGATGTGTGTATGTGTGGCTGATTTTTGGAAGTAAGTTGCAGCAAACTTGGGGAAGGTATACTCATCCAGGCTATCCACATGCTCTTCTATCTCCTCCGTTATGGGGACAGTATCCAGATCAATTTCCGGCAGTGTCTGAGTTTTTGCTTCCAGATCCTGAAGTGGGGATGGGAGGTGTGAGCGGGAAGGACAGGGGTCCTTTTAGATAAAAGCTGAACTGTCAGCCAACTTTCAGGGGCAAGAAATGTTGGGACTAGGGATTTCAGAAAGCTACATCTGTCTGTCTACCAGATTCACAGTATCATTCTAGCTCCCTGGAGTTGGTGACCTCTCTAATTCTGTGCTTGGAAGGCTGCTGTGGACATGAACTTGAAGGCCTGGCCCTGATGACACTGGGGTCTATACAGCTTCTGCAGCCTTCCTCGCCACCCCTCCCTCTTCTCCTTGGCACACCAGCAGCCCCAAGGCTCCACACAGGTACAGAAAGTGCTGCCTGCCTGGGGGCACTGCCACCTCAGTGGGCGTAGAGCAGGCTCCAGGCATCCTTGCAAAGAAGTCACACCTAGCTCTAAAGGTTTCGAACATGAGGATTTGGGCAGCTCACTGCTTTATTCATGACCATCTGGGCATCTGAATGTACTCGGAAGCTCACTCTGGCAGCTTTAGCAAAACCTAAGAGGTTGAATGAGGTCAGGGGGAGGGCAAGTCCTCCATCAGGCTGTCTCACCTCAAAGCGAGCTGGGGCTGGGCCCTCCTGACCCCCGATCATGGATGGGAGGAAGCCAAACACTTTCTCCACCATCTCTGTGTCGGTGATGGTGTCATAGATGGACTTGCACTTCTTTTCGGGCAGAGGTTTTGGTCTCCTTTGCTCTTCATCCAGGATGGCCAGCGGTTCCTGTACATACCACCAAGGGGAGAAGGTGATCCACAGTTCTGGGCCCTGCTCTGTCTACCCTCGCAGAATAAGCACCTACGAGAGAACCTCATCCTGCTGTCATTTGACCAAACATCTTTTGCTTTAAAATGTTACATTTTAACAGCTGTAAGAATAGTGACCAGCTACCAGGGCTTTCCATTTTTCTGATGACAACCAGAAATCTTTGTGAATTACATTGCTGGCTTGATGTCCGAGGTATCACCCCAAACTCCAGAACCCAGAACCCAGAACCCAGTGTAAAATCACTGCTCAGGACCACAAAGTTCTTCCCTACCTGAGGCCTATACTAACAAATACAGAGCTCTTTGCAGCCAAATGGGACCCATTAAAGCACAAAGTCTTTGTTCTCTGTCTGATGGTCTTACTTTTTCTGTTCATTATACTGGTAGTTTAGATGTTAGACCCAATTTTTATCCATGGAGCAGGAGTAAACATCATCTCAGCCCCTTTGCCTCACCATGACTTCTAGATAAGCCAAGCAAGAAGAAAGAGGTTGAGTCTCACGTACTCATGGAGATAATGGATCTTTCGTGGGTGAGACTCAAATGCAGGAGTATGCATTTTGCTGTTCTGTTCCCTATTCTCCTGTCCTCCAGACACTCCATGGTTCTCAGTGGTTTTTCTACCACCTGAGTCATCATGCATAGTCTTTTTTTTTTTTTTTGCCAATCCCGGGCTTGAACTCTGGGCCTGGGCACTGTCCCTCAGCTCTTCAGCTCAAGGCAAGCACTCTACCACTTGAGCCACAGCACCACTTCCTTTTCTGCTTATGTGGTGCTGAGGAATCAAACCCAGGGCCTCATGCATGCAAGGCAAGCACTCTACTGCTGAGCCACCTTCCCAGCCCATCATGCATAGTCTTGTAACAGAGCTCTTCACTCTCCTCCAGGGCAGGCTGGTCACTCACAGCAGAACCCTCCACTCTCCTCCAGGCATGCTGATCTCCCACAGTACCTCTGGCTCAGATGTCCTGCCTCTTTCACAAGACTGACCATCATCCCTTAGGCAAAAAGGAGGGAACTACAGAGTTCCACTTCCAGATTCCAAGCTAAGTCTGTCTAGATGATCTGCTGTATGGCCCCTGTTGTACCCTGTGCCTTCCTGGTAGTGGTCCCTGCAGTACTGACTGTGTACAGGGAGAGGGAAGAGCTCCCTGGTATATCTATGCTGCAGTACTGACTGTGTATAGAGAGAGGAAAGCAGCCCCTTGTGTATCTATACTGCAGTACTGACTGTGTACAGGGAGAGGGAAGCGGTCCCTTGTATAGCTACCCTGCAGTCTAGGAGGCAGCTCCTAATTCATCTCCTGTAGTCTCACTGTGTTCTTGAGTAGCTGGCATAGAATTAAACATCTTGGCTTGAGTGCAGGCTCTCCAACGGGGATTCTATGAGAGGTCTCTTTTTCTACTTGTTCCTCCTTCCCTCCCTTCCTGCTTAGCCCTGGCCAGCCCCACCTGCACAACATGCTAGGTGACTACCTACCTGGGCTTTTTGCTGCTGTAATATCTGCCGGGTAGCCCTGCCCCTGGCATGTGCCTGGATGACCAGCACCGCCCTCCTCTTGGCTTGGACTTGCTGGCGCACCAGGTAGCCTCTGCAGCGGGCCTGCAGTCTCACCACCCTCTGCCGCATGGCCTGGAACTGTCTTGTTAGTGGATGGCTCCGAACAATGGCCTGCAGGCGCTCAAAGCCCACCAGGATCTGCAGGAGTTAAGAGCGAGGTGGGTTCACTGCAAAGTGCCTTCCTAAGGGACCACGGTGGAATTTTCCCAGAACCCTTGAAAGTTAGTTGTACATTTGACTACTTCTTGACACAGGGCCGATGCTGCTATTATACATATCAATTAGCCTGGGTCTATTGAGTTGTTACTTAGAGCAGAGCCGGCCATGCTAATAAGTGCTAATTTTTTTTAAAAGAGCATAAATAATGACATGGCCTTCTGGGGGTGTGGATGGAGGGTGACTACATTCCAAAGCTTCCATTTTTATACCTGCCAGCTAAGACCAGCCACCTTATCAGGCAGAGGCTCACACACCTGTCTAGTGCTTTGAGGTTAGCTTTATTAAGCTAGTTTAATCTCTAAAACAGAAGGAAAGAGCTGGCGCTAGTGGTACATGCCTGTAATCCTATCTACTCAGCAGGCTGAAATGTGAGCAACCTGGTTCAAGATCAGTCCATGACTCCAATTAATCACTGAAAAACCAGAAGTTGAATTTGGCTCAAGTGGTAAAGAGCACCAACCTTGAGTGAAAAAGCTAAGGGACAGTGCTCAGGCCCCGGGTTCAAGCACCAATACTAGCACACACACACACACACACACACACACACAAACCCATCAGGAGCAACAACAATGAGCCAGAAGGAGAGTATGAAATGGCCCACTTCAATACTGGGCCATAGTAGTCCCTGAGTCCCAGGGATGAAGCTGTTGGCTTCTTAAAGATCAACTCAAAGGGTTTAAACATTTGAATATCACACCTACCTATTAATGCACGTACCACCAGCTACTTCCTAACTGCATGCTCTTGAGTTTACTTAACCCTTTGGGCCTTCATTTTTTAGTGGGTATTTTAAAGCAAAATAAAATAGTACCTGTAAAACAACAGGCCTCAAGTAACACTTCCCTACACATAAGCCATTGCATGCTGTTGTGAGCATGCAAGGCAGATGGGCCTGGGACCAGTTTTGCTGACATGACCATTTTATGTCCCAACAATAGTCATGCCCATTAACAAAGATAAGCAGACAAATGAGGCCCTAGAGGACACAGCCATGTTTGCTCTGCTTCCTACAGTGGTAAACAGGCACTCATTAGCTAGTGTCTGTGCTTGGGAGAAAAATTAGAAAGGTCATGAAACACGATAATCAGTCTATTTACTTATTTTGTTACCTGTAAGATAAGAAAAAAGGTCATTTCAGAGAAAGACACTTCAGTCCAGTTCTGAGGATGCTCAAAATTCTGTAGGAGACAATCTCTGAAGCCCACAAACAACGGGGCCTGAGACTATGCTAAGAATAGTGTGTTTATACCAATGCTGGCCTTTGAAAATCCATATTCTACGCCTGTTAGGGATGAGGCCCTTCCTACACAAGACCTCACCTTCAGAGACACGAATATAAACAATTTGTCTTCTATGGGGCATTATCCACTGCCTTCAAAGGCCCAGCCTCCTGAGCTCTCTCACCAGCTTGAAATTCTTTCTGTTGCAATAGCCTCGCCACTCAGCCTGGAGGGTCACAGCTGCCCGTCTCTGTCGCAAGAATTCCTTCCTAGGGGGAAAACACATGCTACGGTGAGTAACAGGCAAGCCTTTGGGGGAGTTTAGAAGGGAAAGGGAACAACAAACTATCTCAGAAGCCATAGGACATCAACAACTGCACAAATAGATTGGGAACATAAAACCTGCTACCAACAACCCAAATTTACAAATAAAGACTATCTAGTTGGTTCGTTTGTTTGTGATACTAAGGTTTGAGCTCTAGGCTTGCTAAGTAGGTACTTGAGCCATACCTGCAGGTTTTTTGCTGAAGTTATTTTTGAGATAAGGCCTCTCTAGGGTGGGGTGGGGCAGGGGGTGGGGAAGAGTGTTGGCCTGGTTCAACCTGGACTGTCATCCTGCTATTTACACCTGGATTAACATGCACATACCACCAAACCCAGTTATTGTTTGGATTTTAATAACTTGTTATCTAGGCTGGTCTTAAACTCTGATCTTCTCAATCTCTGCTTGCTGAAAAAGGGAGATTACAGGCAGAAGCCACTGTACCCAGCTGAAGTCTTTTTAAAAATTTTCCTTCAACACTAGAACTCACAGGTATAAGCAGAAACTTTTTGAAATGAGTCCCAGAGCCACAGCAGCTAGGAGAGAGACTTGACAGATGGAATTACATCAAAATAAAAAGGGTTTGCACACAACAAAGGACATACAGAATTATAGAAATGATGGGACAAAATGTGAACTAATTCAGTAGTGATACTCACTAGACACTATGTTGAAAATGAACTATACAACTTGTGGGGGATGGGGGTTGGAAGGGGAAAGAACTGGAAGAAAACAAGGGAAGAGGTGACATTGTTCAACAAGAAATGTATTTATTACCTGAACTATGTAACTGTAACCCCTCTGCACATCACCTTTATAATAAAACTAAATAAAGTAAAATAAAAAGGACATACTTACTAAACTAGAAAGGAATTAACAGACTGAGAGAAGATCTTTGCCAGCAATATATCTGATAAAGGCCTAATATCCAAAATATACAAGGAACTCAAGAAACTAACTTCTTCCAAAGATAATAACCAATCACTAAATGGGCACAGGAGCTAAGGAGAGACTTCTCAGAAGGAGAGACAAGAATGACAAAGAAACACATGAGGAAATGCTCATCATCCCTGGCCATAAAGGAAATGAAATCAAAACAACTCTGAGATCCCATTTCACCCCAGTTAGATTGGCCAACATTGTAAACTTGAACAACAACAAATGTTGGCAGGGATGTGGGGAAAAGGAACACTACTTCACTGTTGGTGGGAATGTAAACTAGTATAACCACTCTGGACAGCAGTCTTGAGGGTCCTCAAAAAAACGAGACCTAGATCTTCCCTATGACCCAGCCATACCACTCCTGGGCATCCACCCAGAATATCTGGATCCAGGACACCATAAAGACCTTTGCACATCCATGTTCACTGCTACACTATTCACAACAGCCAAGGTATGGAAAGAGCACAGATGCCCTACAAAAGATGAGTGGAGTGCCGGGCGCCAGTGGCTCACGCCTGTAATCCTAGCTACTCAGGAGGCTGAGATCTGAGGATCTCGGTTCAAAGCCAGCCCAGGCAGGAAAGTTCATGAAACTCTTATCTCCAATAAACCACCAGAAAACTGAAAGTGGCGCTGTAGCTCAAGTGGTAGAGCTGTAGCCTTGAGCTGAAGAGCTGAGGGACAGCGCTCAGGCCCAGAGTTCAAGGCCCACGACTGACAAAAAAAAAAAAAAAAAAGATGAGTGGATCCAAAAAATGTGGTAGCTATACACATAGAGTTTTACAGAGCCATTAGAAAGAATAATATTATGTCATTTTCAGGAAAATGGATAGACCTAAAACAAATCATGTTAAGTGAGATAAGACAAGCTCAGAGAGACAAACAGCAATGTTTTCTCTCATATGCAGAAGCTAGATCTAAAATACACTGCGACATGGTAAATTATACAGGACTCTAGACATTCATGCATAGTGAGACCAAAGGAAGATACTCTTAGGACAGGAACAAAGGTGCAATGCCTATGTGTGTCTGATCATATAAAATAGTATTTACTGAAATGAACTTCAGGATATGGAAACAAGGGATTTTTTTCCTTTGTTTCTATTTTTGTTTTCTTTTTTTCTTGTTTGTTTTGGGGTCTTTGGGAAGGTAAGAAGGGCACAGAAATGGAGGGACAAAGGGTGAACAAATGCGTCAGTGGTACTCACTAGACACTACGTTGAAAATGAACTATACAACTTGTGTGGGGATGAGGATGGGAGGAAAAAACTGGGAGAGAGTGAGAGAAGGGGTGGCACTGCCCAAAAAGAAATATACTCTTTACCTGACTTATGTAATTGTAACCCTTTTGTATATCACCTTTATAATAACAATAAAAATATTAAAAAAATCTTTCTTCACTTTTCCCATACTACCAAAATCTGTGAAGGGATGAACCCTATTTTCAGCCAGACCCCCTTCTCTGGTCACTAACTCAATGCAAGAAACAAGAGAACTTGAAAATTGGTCTGGGGTGGAGGTGGAGGTAGGGAAGACACTGCAAGGTGAGCTTGGCCCGTGTAATCTTTGATTTGTACACTCAACTCAGAGTCCTTTCTATTTCTCAATCGTCATCTGAAGACATTCTTAGGTTTAGAACAGTCTCAACCATGTTAAAATTATCTGAAGAGCTTCAACCCTTAGTGATGCCTGGATACCAAACAGTATAATTGACTCAGAACTTTGATATGTGTCTGGAGTATGTACACACACACACACACACACACACACACACACACACACACACACACACAATCCGTCCTTGATATCCATACCTGTATATACACAGACTCTGATTCTACATCCAATGACGCACAGATTGAAAATTTTCAGAAAAAACTGCATCTGTCCTGAACCTGTACAGACTTTTTCCTTGTCATTTCTTCTAAACAACATAGTATAATACCTATTTATATAACATTTGCATCGTACTATCATGAAGAATCTAAAGCCAAGCATGATAGTGTACAGTTGTAATCCTAGCAAGGGACTTAATCAGGAAGACGGTGAGTTTGACACAGAGAGTTCAAGGCCAGCCTGGGTTATGTAGTGAGCCCCTGTGCTAAAAATCAACCTGCCCCCAAGAAAAACCCCAAAGCTAAAAATAAATAAAAAACAGTACAGAGATCATTAGATCAAATTATGCAAGAGGATGTTCACAGATTATCTGCCAATATTATATGATTTAGTCATAAAATTTTTTGAGAGAGGGTCTTACCATGTAGCCCGGCCTGTCCTCAAACTTGAGATCCTCCTACCTTCTGAGTTCTGAATTACAGGCATGTGCCACCACACCTGCAAATGCCATTTTACCAAAGGGACTTGAGTGTCTGTGGACTTGCTATCCTTGTAGGGCCTGAAACCAAGTTTCTGAGGATAACTGGATGTATCTGATCATCCAGTATTCTAACAGGCAGCCAAAACAAACAATAGAATTACCTTAAAATGAAGAAAGTCTATTTATTTTCCAGTGTCTGTACTAGTGGCTCCTGAATGGAGGTAATGAGTTTGCAGGGAACATTGGGAAAAGTCTAGAAGGATTCTGGTTGTCATGATGACAGGATAGAAGAAGAGGATCCTACTGGCGCCCAGTGCAGGGAGCCTGATACTTCCAGGCTTTACAGTTCATGAGCCTTTTCAAATTGCCATAGATCTCCAAAACACCAAATCTGTAGTAAATGAACTCATATTGATTACCTAATTTATCTCAACTGAGCTGGCAATGACATCATGAGGGTGGCACCAACTTACAGGAACATAGTACCAACTAGGTAGTGTCAACAACATACCAACTGTTGTACACATACAATGACAACAAGGTTAGGGGCATTTTTTTCTCTAAAACAAAATCACCTTATAACTTATACCTGGATGGTCTTCAAGATGAGTACAGTAGACACCAAAATGTAATTGGGCAAAGAACTCATATCTCTTGCTTATAGAGTGCATTTTATTTTTACCAAACATTCCAATGATATGTTAAAATTCTCTGGCTACCACAAAGTTGTAGGGTCCCTGGGCCAGGGGGTCTTGTGTTACAGTTTCTCCTCCAGACCTGCTGGAGGGTAGCAGGCAGGTGTAGGGATTTGTGGGGTTTGGGGTGAGGAGTGGTACCTGTATTTGTAGCCCCTCAGGACTCTCTGGATTCTGACAGCTGCTCCGTCCAGGGCCTGGCCCCGCTGAATCTCCAGTAGGGTGTCCTGGTGATCCTGAAGGTGGGAGTGAGGCTATCATGTGGCCGCTCCTCCAACCGCCCCCTGCCCTGCCTGGAGCCAGGACTTTGTCTCCAGACGTCTCTTAGACTTCTCCCACAAGGGCAAGTACAGAAATCGTCCTCCAGTTGACCCTGATATGGCTCAAAGAAGGAACTGTAATTATATAACCCACACTGTCCCCCAGACTCTTTCTTCTTGCTAATTCAATCTGATAGCCTTCACTTCTGCTCTGGAGAAATCCAAGGGTGGGTCAGAAAATGTCCAGAAATGTAAGAGATATTTGCCTCTGACTGCTCAACACACCATGCTTGTTTCAATACCAAAATATTTTGGGCTGGGAAGGTGGCTCAGTGGTAGAGTGCTTGCCTTGCATGCATGAGGCCCTAGGTTCGATTCCTCAGCACCACATAAGCAGAAAAAGCTGGAAGTGGCACTGTGGCTCAAGTGGTAGGGCACTAGCCTTGAGCTGAAGAGCTGAGGGACAGCGCCCAGGCCCAGAGTTGAGGCCCCAACCAAAAAGATATATATTTGTCATCACCTATAAGAGGATTCATGGCACAAGGAGTGTGTGTGTATGTGTGTGTGGTGGTGGGGGGGTGCACGTGCGCACACGCCTGCGCGTATTGTCTGGGAAGCCATGCTGCTCCTTCCTGCCTGCCTGGTTTCAGAACCCCAAATAGGCCTTAGCGATGCACAGACAGGTTCTAGGCTGGAGAGCTGAGGCTGGACTGGGTGTGGACGGGCTGTGTCAAAGGGGAGGGAGTGGAAGTGAGGAGAAGATAGAGATCCAGCCAGCCACAGGCCTCCTCCTGTAGGCACCTCCACCTCCCTCCTCACTGTGTGCCCCCTCTCAAGGTTCAGGGGCCTTCAAACTGATGACAACGGATTCCCTGGGGTCTCACCTTTAAGAAAACTTTGGTCTTTCCCATCTTCCAGTCTCTGTCTGTTTGCAGGCACACATCCAGGATGCGCAAGGTCATCTGACGGAACTTGTCTTGAAGCTGCAGAGGAGAACAGTGGGCTGGGCTGTCCTAACAGAGACTCTGGGAGGGCAAGGAATGGGGGGCAACAATCCCTCCCCAGGGGAGCTGTGTCTTCCTCTTCCTGTCACAGGCTTCACATCAGGGGAAGTCCTGATGGGCACAAGTACAACCAATATTTCAGTGCAAGTAGAGAGTGAGGGTTCTTGCCGGGCACAGGTCATCTGGGCGTTCTGAGGGCCGCAAGGCTGCTCAGACTTCAGGATGGCTGATGGCTTCAGAAAGAAAGTGAAGGATCTCCCCACCCACAGAGTTTCCCTAGCACTCCTCAGCTGCCTGACCCTTTTCCAGTAGGAGAGCTAGCCTTTTTGCAGTAAACTTTCAGACATGTCAACAGAATGAGCCATCTCAGACACCTGCGTGACCCTTCCCCCCCCCCCAGACTTCAAAGCACTGGGAGATTAAGAGACAGAAGAGGACAAAGGGCGGACAGACCGGTTCTGTAGAGCGTGAGGGGTCCAGGGATGGTGCTGGGCATCTAGAGGGGAGCAGGGAGACCCCCTAGGGTTGGGGATCTGGAGATGCTGGAGGGGGAGTGGACGGTGGGGCATGCACCTGTGTGCGCTCAGCGCTGGGCAGCAGCACTCGGAAGCGGTAGGTGAATTCCTCAAACGTGTAGCGGATGGGGAAGCCCGACTTGCGGATGTGCACAGTCTCCATCATGCCTGAGTAGCGCAGCTGCTGAATGCACAGCTCCCGGTCGAAGAGCTGTGGAGGGAGGCGCAGGAACAGAGGAGGAAGGCCCACTTGGCCCCACTGCTCTACCATGGTGACTGCTCAGAGGGCACATACCCCCAGGGGCACAGGAGCCCCCACAGAGACAACAAGAAGTAAACAAATGCTTGATTGAATGAAAACGACATTTCAACGAATGCAGTAGAAGTGGCTGAAAGTCTGTGACGTGTTCCCTGTTAGAAGATCATACGCCTAGCTACCCAGGAGGCAGAGATCTTAGGATGGCAGTTTGAAGCTATTCCAGGCAGGAAAATTGGTGAGGCTCTTGTTCCCATTTAACCACCAAAAAGCTGGAAGGGAAGCTGTGGCTCAAGTGGTAGAAAATCAAGCAAAAATGCAAGGTCCTGAGTTCAAGCCCCAATACTGGCACCAAAACCAAAACAAGACCGAAACAATCCCACCATAGTTCCATAATTTTCAAGGCATACAATGCATTAAACAAAAATGTCATTTGCATATGCTTCTGAAGTGTCCCCTCCCCAGATGGGCACAGGAGAGCTGGTGGTAGCCACTGGCTGTGAGGAACTGAGCTGTCCTCTGCTATGAGTGGTGTGGCTAGCAGAAAGGAATTTGGCATGATAGTTTTCCCTAGAGCTCCAGGCTTCCCCACTGGCTCCAAGACTGTCAAGCTTGTGTTCTGGAATGCCTTGGCCTGGCACCAGGGTAGACACCCTGTTACAGGGCAAACGCACTAACAGGTACTTTTGCCCCTCCCCCCACTAGTGTTGAGTAGGTAGTCAATAGCTATTTATCAAATGCTTTCTGTAGGCCTGTGCATTTCTCATTTAATCTCTACAGCAGCTTCTGTGGTGGGAGTAACTAACTGGCTCTGATTAAAAAAATGAGGTATTAGCCAGGCCCTGGTGGCTCACGCCTGTAATCCTAGCTACTCAAAGACTGAAATCTGAGGATCGTGGTTCGAAGATAGACTCCAATAAACTACTCAGAAAAAGCCAGAAGTGTCACTGTGGCTCAATTGGTAGAGTGCTAGCCTAGATCCAAAGAAGCTCAGGGACAGCACTTAGGCCCTGAGTTCAGCGCCCCCTCCCACCTATTCTTCAGTGCCTGGGCAGGCTTCAGAGCCCAAACTTGCTGGGCTCCTTGGTGTGGCCTCCCCCTCCATACTTCACACCAAGCATCTGCCCCTGCTGAGGTCCTCACTAGAGACACTGCCATAGAGTCTGAACCTCAGTTTGGGCTTGCCTGCCTGCCTTGCAGTTCCCAAGGTGAGCAGTAGCGACACGTGCAGGACTCTCTGAGAGTACTGTGATCTTTCCCACTGGTTAAGGAACAAAAGATGTTGTCTAACATCTGCTGTACCTGAAAGGAAGCTTCATGAGGCAGCCCCAGCTACATCTTTATAACTACATCTCTATAACTACATCCTTTTCAAATGGCACCTCATTTAATATAATACATATTTTTATTCCCTTATGGGATTTTGTAAAGTTATCTTGTGTCCTTTATCTTCTTGTTCTGAGCAGTCCCTGTGCTTGTCCCTGTGCTTGTAGCTTCTGATTCTACAAATTGACCATCCCAAGTCCCCTAACCCCTCACCACACACATGTGAAGTAAGCCCCATCTGGTCTTAGCCACCGAGGATGACATTAGCCTGTGAAGCCCTACTCCATTCCTATGGGAAGAGTGAGTCTGATTTTATGGAAGAGAAAGTCAAGACGCATAGAAGCCAAGAGCCTGGCCAGGTACACATAGCGCATGGTGGCAGGGCTTGGAAAACTCCTATCAGGGAGCTCAGAAGCCCTTCAGGTCACTGCCTGTGACGACCTATGCTGATTCTGCCTCACTGTCCTTATTTCAAGCAAACAACTACGACCCTAGATACTCAGACTTAGCCTCTTCCTCCCTCCCTGGGCTCATCTTCCCTTAATTACCAGTGGCTTCTTGTACTCGTTGGGTTTGATGCAGCGGATGAAGTAGGGCTGGCAGCTGGTCAGGATTCTCATCAGTTGCTCCAGGGACTGCTTGAACTGGCCAGCTAAGGTGGAGGGCCGCTTGGTGGAGTCTGTAGGCTATGGACAGAAGCACAGGATGGCAGTGGGGGTGGGCTGGGGATCTGTGGGCTGGGACACAGTGAAGGCTTCTGCCAAGGTTAGTGGGCTCATTCATCCATCCACTCACACATTTGTTCATTTATTCTTCCACATAGGAATCCCAGGGCCTGCTCTGTGCAGACTCCTTCAGTGTGGGGACTCGTTGGTGCATAAATAATGTTCTTTGGGCACATCAGCCAGGTCCTGAGCCCTCCCTTTAGGAGGCATGGGGGGTTCTGAGGGCCCTGGGAGCACACCTTGAACAACTGGCTCCCTGCCTTTGCCTGGCGGACGGTGCCGTGGCCCAGCTTGGTCTCTGCTGACTCCAGATCGAATATTTTCCTCAGGAACTTGTTTTTCGAGGAGTGAATGAGGGCGAGGATATCTGTGCTCAGTACATCTCGGTTCTTCTCCAGGAAGCCTGTGGGGACACCATGGACCGCCCATCAGACCAGCTGAGCCATGCCTTCACTCCATAGGGACCCCACACCGGCCTGCCGAAACCATGCTGTCAGCCCCTCCACCAGGCAGCGGGTTCATTGTCTCTACCTATGACTTCTACACTCTCAGTCTCTTAGCTCTCCAAACCACCTTCACCCTGTCTCTAAGTGGACACAATTCCTCTGCCTTTGGGGACTCGCAGAATGCTGCTAGAGCTGGGGGATTCTCTAATCTGAACACTGAGCTTCCAGAAAGGGGAGTGGAGAGAACAGTGTGGTCACCAGAATAGTATCCCCCTCAAAAAATTCAAAGTTAAGAAGTTAACCCTTAGTACATTAGAAACATAGAAAAATGACCTTAAAGAGGTAACAGCTTGGTGCCAGTGGCTCATACATGTAATCCTAGCTAATCAGAAAGCTGAGATCTAAGGATCTCAATTTGGAGCCAGCCTGGACAGGAAAGTTTGTGAAACTCTTATCTCCAAGTAATCACCAAAAAGCCAGAAGTGTAAACATAGTTTAAGTGGTAGAGAAGAAAAGCTAAGGGACAGGGCCCAGGCTTTGAGTTCAAATCCCAGTACCAGCACACACAAACACAACAAAAGAGAGGTAAGGTAATCATAAGGTAATCTTATGAGGTTATGAGGGCACCCTGACCAGGGTGACCTGGGTCCTTGTCAGAAGAGGTCACATGAAGACATAGATGTGAGCAGAGGAATCATGCAAGAACACAGGCAGAAGACAGCTATACAAGGAGAGAGGGCTCAGAAGAACCCAGCCCTCTGACCTTGATCTCAGGCTTCCAGCATCCACAACTGTGAAACATTTATTTCTGTGGCTTTTGTCATGGCTGCCTTAGCTGACTAAGACAAGTACAGATCCAGGGGTGGGGTTCTATTCTCCAGCCAAGAATGGCCAACATTGAAGTAGATACAGAACCACACTGAGAAGGTGCTGAAGATGTGCTGCTTATGACAGCCAGGCTAGAGGAGGTCCCCAAAGATAAGATCTTGAACTGTGCCCTTCCACTCTGTCCTGTCTAAGTGACCCACCCTGAGTGGCATGCTTCATGCACATCTGCACATCCTGGTATATAGAGAGGAAAGGTCCTATTTCCACTTCTGCCTGCAGGGGGAAGCACCCAGGGACGGGACAGTGCCAAGTGCTCAGTGGGAGCAGAGAGTCCTCTCAAAGTTGGGAACCATGGAGGGGCATGCCTTGAGAGGAACAAAGGCAGCACCAGACCACCCCAAGAAGAGGCACCATCGAGCCCCTTCTAGGCTGTGAACTGGGAAGCTGCCTCTGAAGAATGAGAACTGGTGAGGGCTACATTCAGTGACACCTGTGTCTTCGGGGGCTCAAGCTGAGCAGCTCCATCCAGGAGGAAGGAGTTTCCTGATTTTTTTTCAAAGGGGAGACAGTGGCTTAATTCTCCACCAAGGAGTAGAACTGAGGCCATAGGTTCAGCAGGGGACCATAAAAACCAGTGCTTTGCATTAATAAACATTTCTAGAATTTTTCAATAAAATTTTAGAAAGATGCTACGTGGATCTTAGCATACATGTAAGTTTCATGTCACTTCAGAAAAATAGAACTCTAAATTTTCTTGATCCATTCATCCATTGAAGGGCATGATTCCATATCTTGGCTATGGTAAATAGTGTTACAATGAACATGGTTGTGCTGCTGGCTTTACTGTAACCTTGTTTGTGTTTTATTGGATAAATGTCCAGGAGTGGGATTACTGGATCATAGGGGAGCCCTATGTTTAGTTTTTTTTGGGGGGGTCCAGTCGTGAGGCCTGAACTATGGGCCTGGGCTCTATCCCTCAGCTTTTCAGCTCAAGGCTAGCGCTCTACCACTTGAGCCACAGTGCCACTTCCGGCTTTTATCTTTTTGCTTATGTGGTGCTGAGGAATCGAACCCAGGGCCTCATGCATGCAAGGCAAGAGCTCTACCACTGAGCCACCTTTCCAGCCCTATGTTTAGATTTTTGAGGAATTTCCATACTGCTTTCCAGACTGGTTGAACCAGTTTACATTCCCACTGACAGTGTATTAGAGTTCCCTTTTGGCTGCATCCTTGCTAACATTTGTTGTTTTCTAGATAACGTGGTGAGGGAGAATCCCAGTGTTGTTTAGATTTGCATTTCCTTTACAACCAGAGATGTTGCACATTTCTTAATGTGTCTATTGGCCATTCTTACTTCTTCTCTTTAAGTCATTAGCCCATTACAAATTGGGTTGTTGTTTTCCTTAAGGGTTTGATTTTTTAAGCTCTAAGGATGTTCTGGGTATTAGCCCTTGTCTGATGCATAGCTGGTGAAAAATCTCCCATTTTGTAGATTTTTCTTTTTAGCTTGTTATCTGCCTTTTGCTCTTCAGAAAATTTTAAATGTTATGCAATCCCATTTATCAAGTCTTTATTCAATTGGTTGTGCTTCTGGATACTTAGAAAGTTTCTACCTGTGCCCAAGAGACCTAGTGTTTCATGGTTTCTGAATGAATCAAGAAAATGTAGTACATATACACAATGGAATTTTACTTATCCATTAGAAAGAATGATATTGTGCCATTCATAGGGAAATGGAAAGACTTGGAAAAATTATATTAAGTGAAGCAAGCCAGACCCAGAAAAACAAAGGTTGCCTGTTTTCCTTCATTTGTGGTAGCTAGAATTTGCCTATAAATCTATAAGTAAACACATTGAAGCTGGGAATGTGGCTTATTGGTCGAGTGCTTGCCTAGCATGCATCATTTCCTCAGTACCACATAAACAGAAAAAGCTGGAAGCAGCACCATGGCTCAAGTGGTAAGCACAAGCTTTGAGCAAAAGAAGCTCAGAGATGGTGCCCAGGCCCTGAGTTCAAAGCCCCAGGACTGACAAAAACAAAACAAAACAAAAACATAACACATTGGATGATATACAAATGACTACAAGTGTATTAAATGAAATATGGTAGACTCTAGGGAGAACTTGAATAATGTAATTTCTTAGAAAGACAAAGTCAAAGCCCTACAAAATAACAACCACGAAAAGGTACTTACAAGTGGGAGGTGTGGACAAGGGGAGAGGGATAGATGAATGAAGAGCAGGAGGGGCAGAATTCAGTCAAGAATTCATTGTATATACTGAAAACTTAAGAAAAGTAAGGGAGGGGGAGGGTTGAAGGGAGGGTGAGAATGTTGAAGGGGGTGACACTGATCAAGATGCTTTTGTGTGTGTGTGGCAGTCTTGGGGCTTGAACTCAGGGCCTGGGCTCTGTTTCTGAGTTTTTTTGCTCAAGGTTAGTGTTCTACCACTTTGAGTCACAGGGCTACTTCCCATTTTCTGAGTGGTTTATCTGAGATGAGAATCTCATGGACTTTCCTGCCTAGGCTGGCTTTGCACTACGATCCTCAGCTCTCGGCCTCCTGAGGAGCTAGGATTACAGGCAAGAGCCACAAGGTGCCCAGTTCAAGATGCACTTTATTCATAAACTGCTTTGTTAAGGGACAACTCTTTGTACAACTATTCAAAGATTTTTAAATTTTTTAAATAAAATTTTAAAATATTTTATAAACTCGCCATGTGCACAGTGGCTCAGGCTGGAGCTGTTGAGCGAGTGGTAGAATGTTAGCCTTGAGCTAAAGCCTCAGGACCCAAAAGCAAAACAAAACAAAATCCGGCTTTGATTCATCCATGGAGTGTGGGTGGACTCAGAGTCTTTTTGGGGTTCTAGGAGCTTTCTTTCTTAAATGTCTAGCATCTGGATCTGGCAGGAACCTTGATGGAGCTGCCTCCTTTTCTCCATGGAACGTTGCCTCCTGGAACCTCACCTCACCTACATGAACCACCATCCCTTCCTGCCACTTATATCACCAAACACCTGCATTTGTCTCTAGTTGAACTGATCAGATTGCCTCCTCCTTTCTCTTTCTTTTTTTTTGGGTCCGGTTGTGGGGCCTGAACTCTGGGCCTGGGCGCTGTTTCTCAGCTCTTCAGCTCAAGGCGAGGGCTCTACCACTTGAGCCACAGCGCCACTTCCGGCTTTTTTTCTTTTTGCTTATGTGGTGCTGAGGAATCGAACCCAGGGCCTCATGCATGCAAGGCAAGCGCTCTACCACTGAGCCACCTTCCCAGCCCCAAACTCCTCCTTTCTTCACTCACCCACAGAGTGGCACTGCTGGCAGTAATGTCAGCGCAGCGGCCCAACTCTCCTCACCACTGGTCAGTCACGCTTCTCTTTTAAGCACACCAGTAGGTTGACCACCTCACTCCTTTGTTTCTCTACTCAAAGCCATTATTGATCCTACCTCAACATATGCCACAGGCAACTTAAGGTGCATCAGAGACAAAAGGAAAAGCTGAGCCTGAAACCTCTTGGAAGAACATGTATTCCACATAACATTCAATTGGACACTGAAATTAAAAGCAAGAGCAAGTAGAGAAATTGAACTCTGTGTGTGTGTGCCTGTGTGTATGTGTGTGCACGCATTGCACATACATACACTAGTGCCAGAGCTTGAGCTACAAGCTTGTGTTCTTGCTCACAGCTGGCACTCTACCACTTTAGCCATGCTGCCAGCTCATCATTTTGCTGGTTATTTAGAAATAGTAGTTTCACATACTTTTCTTTCCTATGCTGGCTTTGAGCCATGAACATCTGATCTCAGCCTCCTGAATAGCTAGGATTATAGGTGTGAGCCACTTGGTGCCAGGCTTGAGAAGTTCAACTTGTTTAGAATGGAAAACTTTTGTGCTTCAGAGGACTCCCTCAAGAAAGTGAAAAGATAGTCCTCAGGACAAGAAAAGATTTACAAGTCACAATTCTGATGAAGCACTTTTGTCCAGAATATATAAAGTACGGTTGCCACTCAAAAGCAAAAAAAAAAAAAAAAAGAAAGAAAGTAAATGGATTTGAACAGCCATTCTTCTCAAGAAAGTACAGCAATAGCCAATAGGTACTCAGAAAGATACTCCATTAGCCATTAGCAACCAGAGAAATGCAAATTTAAAAAATCACATTGACTTATTTCTTCCAATCGACTAGGATACTTAAAACCAAAAAATAAAAAAGACAGATGATAACATGTGTTGGTGAGCATGTAGAAAAGTTACATATACTGCTGGCAGGACTGCAGATATAGCCACTTCAGAAAAGAGTTTAGTGAGTCTTCAAAAAATTAAACATTGCCAGGCTCAGTGGTTCACACTTGCAATCCCAGCTACTTAAGAGGTGGAGATTCGGAAGATCACAGTGGTAGGCCAACTCAGGCAAAAAGTTAAGTCCCCACCCCAATCAATAAATCAGGCATGATTATTCACACTTATCCCAGCTACATAGGATGTTGTAGTAAGGAGGATCATGGTTTAAGGCCAGCTCCAGGGGAAAACTCAAGACTCTACCTGAAAAATAACTAGAGAGTGAGTTGCATGACTCAGTTGCCTGTCTAACAAGCACGAGGCTTGCTAGACAGTTCAAAAAAAAAAGAAGCATAGATAAAAATAAAATAAACATAGTGTTAATGTATAACTCAAGAATTCCACTTCTGCTGGGAAGATGGCTCAGTGGTAGAGCGCTTGCCTTGCATGCATGAGGCTCTGGGTTCAATTCCTCAGCACCACATAAGCAAAAAGAAAAAAGCCAGAAGTGGTGCTGTGGCTCAAATGGTAGAGTGCTAGCCTTGAGCTGAAGAGCTGAGGGACAAGTGCCCAGGCCCAGAGTTCAGGCCCCATGACCGGACCCCCCCCAAAAAAAAAGAATTCCACTTCTAAGTATCTATACTCAGAAGAACTATAAACACACATCCCCACAGAAAGTGTACATGAGTGTATGGATGTCTACAAGCTGTATTATATAGAATAACAATGTAGAAACAACTCAACATCCATCAGTGAAGAGATAAACAAAATGTGATATATTCACACAGTAGAATATTATTCTGCAATAAAAAGAAATAAAATATCAATATGAGCTGCAACACAGATGAAGCTTGAAAATATCAGGACAGGTGAAACAAGGCCACACATTGCATGCTTCTGTTTATATGACATGTACAGGCCAATCCATAGAAATGGAAATTAGCTTTTAACCTAGGGTTAAGGAAAATGGGGAGTGATGGATAGTGGGGAAGTTTCTTTCTGGGGTAATAAAAATGTTCTAAAAGTATGACAGTCATTGTATAACTCCATGAATTTGATTAAAAACCCACTGAGGAACCAGATGTGGTGGCGCACATTTGTAATTTCAGTACTCAGATGGTTGAGGCAAAAGGATTGAGAAATCAAGGTCAGCCTGTGCTGTCTCAAAAATAAAACAGAAACAAAACAAAAAATCCTACTGAACTATCCACTTGAAATGGGCAGATAATAGAATATGTGAATTATGCTTCAATAGAGCTGCTGCTAAAAAGGAAAGCTATACCTGCCTAGCCCTCCAGTAAAAGCCACACCATGCATCTCACATCCCATCACCACATCTTGAAGCAACCTGCTCTCTCAGCCTCCCTTTCCTGGTCTCCCTGAAACCAGGTCCGGGGCTGGATGGGGTAGGAATGGAACTGAGCTCACCTTCTGCCTGGTAGTACACCTCGCCAGCAAAGTGGGCAATACCAAATCTGGCATCGTGGATGTTCTTGGGTTTTAGGAAGATTTTGTTGCTTGCATGGACACTGGTCAGTTTCTGCAACATGGTCGTATCTGTCCCCTGGAAGAACCCAGATGTTCAATGAGCTGAGGTCCCAAATTCCAGGCATGAGGCCTCATTCCCACAGGACTCAGGGGGGGGTCACCTTTGGGGACAAGGCAAACTGATGACTACACTGATGACTGCAGATGGATTGGAGACTTGTGCAAGTGAGGGCCAACTGGGAGAAGCTGGGCCAGCTACCCTCATCACTAGCTCTCCTGTTCCACCCTTTGGACAGGCAAAAAAGCCTTCCTGCAGGAAACACTGAAGCAGGCCTTGAAGAAGAGGAGGAGGATCTGATCAGTCTTGAATTCATCTACTTATTCCTGGCAGAGGTTTTGACAATCCCAGGAAAAATCTGACCAAACAAGAGAGCCCTAAGCAGGATTCCACCCAGAGGCCCTGACACACACCTGTGGGAAGCGGCTCTCTTCATCTAGCAGAGAGATGATGCTCATGGGTTTGAGTGCCAGCAGCTCCAGAGTGGGCCGGTTGTCAGTGTAGTGGATGTAGTCCCAGGTGATGTTCTCAGAGCGGTACTCTTCCTGCTCCATGGTGAACACATGCTGAACAAAAAACTGCTGCAGGTGCTCGTTGGCGAAGTTGATGCAGAGCTGCTCAAAGCTGTGGAGGAAATGCCACCGCCCGGGGTGGAGCAGGGTCAGCCTGGCCCTCCTGCAGCTAGTGGAAGCTTGTGATCACTGGCATTTCTGCAACCAATCAAATATGCAGAGTCCCCTCCCCACCCTCTCCCAGATCCACCTTCCATGTACACAGAGCACTGGGGTACCTATAGATGCATACTTCCCTGCACACACCCCTGCCCTGCTCTTGTTACCTTCACTTTTCCCACCTCATGGCACACAAACTGAGAGAAATAAGATGGCCCAGTGTAGCATCGAGTCCTAGTTCAGAGCTTCTTAGGATTCTGTACAGGCCTACGGGTTCCTTTGCCAGGACTGCCTGTCTTGAGGCAGACTATCCCTAAGGGGCCAAATGGACACAAGAAGCCCTAGCCCCATGGGCAAGTGCCTTGCCCTTGAGTGAGCTTCCAGAGACCCAGTTGGGCACCTCCACACCTACCAGACTCTCACCATCTCCACTGTCCTCCCACCTGTTGCTCTTCCCAGGCATCCTTCCCAGCCATATCTGATTCAAATCAGAGACTACAGAGTCATTTATTTGACCCTCTTAAATCAGATCATGCCCTTCTGCTGCTTCAGATCCTCCCAGCTGACTTGTGTTCAGATTTAGAAGGCTACCACAGTAGAAGCACTGGCAATCTCTCTGGACTCACTGGTGCCATCCTGTGGTCACTTTGTTTTTCTTGCAGCACCATGCAGGTTCCTGGTTCTTTCCTAGCACAGAGCCTGCACTTGGTATCCCTCTTCTCTTTTCTCTTGACTCATCCTGCTCCTCTTTGGGGCTCTCTCAGACATCGCTTCCTCAGGCTGGGTCACCCACTTAGGTTATATCTTATTATTCTTGAGACTGCTTGATGTGAAGTATAAGAGCCCACCATGGCCCTCATACATTTTACAGAGGGTATGACCAATGCAACCCAGGGTCTTCCAGAACCTCCTTCCCAGGCCCCCACACTGCAGCTCCATCACAAAACCAGCTAAGCATCTTCTTTTAGGAAGGAGTCCCCATATGCATGTAGATCTCTAGAACTAATAACTCATCCACTTCCAAAGTGTCCACAGGTATACTGGTCTACTTCTCTGTCTCTCTTAGGGCAAGAAGGCAATGGTATAATGTGCTTTAGAGTTCCTGTGCATTAGTCCTAGGCCTGCCAGTCCTGCATCCTCCTACCTGACTACAGTGAGTAAACCTCTGTCCCCACCCCCAGGATGCTAGCCCTTGGATGGCTTATATTTGACAATCCTGGACCTAAAAGGCTCCTCTAATACTGCTCCCCATTGTAGTGTACTGATTTGTTTGCTAGTCACAACTCTTTAACTTGTGGTTCTGCTGAGACATAGGACCAGACATGTTCTGTCTCCATGTGCTTCCTTCTAAAGTCACAAATGCCCCTAGATGAAATCATGTGATTGGTTTCCACTGTCACCTTAATCTTGTGTGACAGACAAGTCCTGGTTCATGAAAAGAGCTTAGGGCTCCAGAGCAGTGTCACCCTGGGGTCTCAGCCCAGCTCTCTGGGGTGGATTTTGGCTCCACAGGTAAAAGAGAGAGGTCTCTGGTCCCCACAGTAATAAGGGGTGGAGTGGGATCAGAAGTAGGGATGGTCTACTCTGACTTGCTCAGTTAGAGCTGCTATTTGTTTTCCATTTCTTTTGTTGTTGTTGTTGGTCATGTGGCTTGAACTCTGGGCCTGGGTGCTGTCCCTCAGCTCTTCAGCTCAAGGCAGGCACTCTACCACTTGAGCCACAGCACTTCTGGTTTTCTGGTGGTTCGTTGGAGATAAGAGTCTCACAGACTTTCCTGCCCAGGCTGGCTTTGAACTATGATCCTTAGATCTCAGCCTCCTGAGTAGCTAGGATGACAGGCATAAGCCACCAGCGCCCAGTTTCATTTTCCATTTCTGAAGTTAGGAGGACTAAGGTCTTCATACCTATTGTTCTGGAAATTCTCAAAGCCAAATATGTCCAGGAGGCCAATGGACCTCCGCACACTGTTGGGGTCCGGGGAGGGTGGTGGAAAGATGGAAGCATTGATCTTCTTGATGATCCACAGGAAGAGGTGCCCATAGATGCCCTGGGGAGACAGTGGGTGAAAGCTAACCTTTTCCCAAGTTCAACTGGAGAGGCTCTATGAGGGATGTTACCCACACTTTAAAGACAAGAAACCCAGACCAGAGAGGATGAGGGATCCACCACCAGTAGGTGGGTGATCAGCAGAATGGAGATCTACCAACAGATCTTTCCCGCTCTTTCCCGCCCCTTCAGTCCTGTACCTTGACAAAGGCATCCCTCCGATCTGCGGCCTGGGCAATGTTCAGGGGTCTAGTGACATACTCTCCACGGATGAGGATGGTATGTTTGATTAGACAGTCTCGGAGCACCTGGTGCTGCACCTGGGAAGACAGGCAGGTGGCATTCTGTCTGTGGAGCAGGGCCTGGCCCAGAGCTTACACCAGGGCAGGAGCAGGTGCTCCTGCCATGGTTTACTCCCTCTTGTGATAAAACACCCCATGTCCAGTAGATAAGGGTACAAGGGTGGGAGGTTGCCTGTACCAAGGCTAGGACAATCAGGGCCACAGGCCAGGGTCCTAGGAGTGCTGGGTGCAGAGTGTGCAGGGGGTGCATCTGAGGGCAGGCCCCAACATGTTGCTCTCCTAGCATCTGGAATAAGGGCTGGTACAGGAAGTGTTCTGAGACCGGGTCTCAACTGTGCCCCAACCAGAACACCTTCCCAGAGGCTGAAGGCCTAGAGGAACAAGGGGACTGTGGAAGGGCTGCCCTCCCCACACCTTGTGGGAAAGATTTAGCTAGAAAAACTCAATATTTCCAGGTACTTGCACAAAACTTAGTGAGAATCTATTTGAACTAAGAAGCTGGCAGGGTGGCTTATACCTGTCATCCTGGCTATAAGAGGTATAGGTAGGAGGCTCAGAGGTTGTCCCCAAACACAAGACTTTATTAAAGAAACAGCTGGGTGCTGCTGGTTCATGCTTATAATCCTAGTCATATAGGAAGCTAAGATAAGAAGGATCATTGTTTGAGGCTGGCCAGATCATAAAACTTTGAGAGACTCATTTATTGACCAATTGCTTGGCATGGTGATGCTTGACTGTCATCTCAGCGAAAAATAAAAAATAAATGAAAAAAAATAGGAGAATCACTGTTCAGGTACACGGCCAGATAGGCAGTAAGGCCCAATCTCAAAAACAACCAGGGCAAAAAAAGTGATTGGAAGCGTGGCTCTTTGGCCAGAGTGCCATGCCTGGCAAATGCAAGACCCTGAGACCAACCCCAGTACTGCCAAGAGTAGACAAAAACTAAAACTAAAACACTGAACTGGTCATTTTACTATCCTCAAGGTTCCACTGTGAGCAGAAGGCGGGTCTTAGACTCTGGAAGAGAGAAGAGGGCCAGTGAGGGGACCATGGGAGGACTGTAAGAATCAGAGGCGTGACAGGAGTGCACCAGTCTGCACCCCCAAGTCTCACAAAAGCAGCAGGTAGTAAACACGATGGCCCATACCTCCAGTAACTTCATCGCAATGGGGAAGGCGGTTGACTCCATCACATCAGAGGAATCCAAGTTCTCAAACACTGCAGCTAGAGAGAGAAGCAGCTACCCTGAGTGGGAAAAAGCCCCACATCATTACCCTAGAAACCACTGTCCTGGAGGTGAGCCACTGTATCTCTGGGGACCCTCTCTTGCAGGGTGAATGTCCTCAGTGACCAGAGTCATTCGCACCCTTGCTGCAAGTGAATTGAACAGACTCGGTCACCTATGCCGGGTGAGGTCAGGGCCCCAAGCCAAAGGGAAGTTTGAAGAACTGACTGATTGGAAAGAAAAGACTGGGTTGGAGTGCCCAGCAAGCACTGGTGCTGGTGGGATGGACAGGGGACAGGTATAGGAGAGGTGAAGCCACCAGCTCCCAGAAGCATTTATTTATTCAAAGAAAATAAGTATCAGGAACACTAACTATAAGTAATGATCTTCAGGCCTCTTCTCTACTTCTAGTTCTTTCTAGAAGGAAGGACCTGGTGGTTTTGAGTCAATGTCTACCTTAGAATTGATTGTCAAGCTGAAGGTGAGGTTTAGTTTTCTTTTGTAAACTTAAAAAAAAAATTGTGAGGCTTGGTGTCGGTGGCTCACACCTGTAATCCTAGCTACTCAGGAGGCTGAGATCTGAGGGATCACAGTTCAAAGCCAGCCCAATTAACCACCAGAAAACTGGAAGTGGTGCTATGGCTCAAGTGGTAGAGTGCTTGCTTTGAGCTGAAGAGCTCAAGGACAGTGCCCAGGCCCAGAGTTCAAGCCCCACAACCAACAAAAAAAAAAAGTGAAATGAATCCTGCAGATAAAAAGTTTACCAGTCAGAAAGGGCTGCCAGGCAACAGTGGCTCATGCCTGCAATCCTAGCTATTGAGGTGGCTGGGATCTGAGGATCATAGTTTGAAGCCAGCAGGAAAGTCTGTGAGACTTTTACCTCCAATGAACCACCCATGAGCCAGAAGTGGA